TTTATATCTATTATGTATACATATATGCATATATATTAGGAAAAAGCTTACAACGTACCCATTCAGCTTTGTAGGATGTTACTATTTGTTCAGCTTTTTCATCCTAAAAAGGAAAAGATAGAAGAGACGCCAATACGCTATTAGATATTGGCAAAGAACACTAAGTAACATTGATGGTACTTACAAGTACATGTAGAAATATTGGATATTGTTAAGCACAATTTATGTCACAAAATCTCCCAACACTATTATTATAAACTCATACCCATTGCAACACTAGGTAGTCTATTCAAAATGATTTTCTTACATACATATAATAGTTTCCTAACCAAATATCTTATTGTGACAACGTTTTAACCTCCTCCTCAGTTTGCTTAACCTGGTTACCAAACCTATTGTGGCCCCCGTGGCCTGCATCCTCTTTGCATTTATTTATGTAGGACTGGGGAGCTATAATAAATGGTAGGTTTGGTTACCAGGCAGGGGGGATGATACTATCTCATCATTCTTTGCAATACACATTCCACAACACGTGTCCAAGATGGCTGACTGTCAGCACCAGGCATATAGTCTTGTCATGTTTCCTTTAAAAGTGCAGCAATGGCAACAATTTGACCAGTAATTTTTGGTTCTTTGAATTATCAAATGACTCAAGTAGTGTATGAGACTTTTGTAACTTATGTACAACTTCTTACATTGTGTCATAAACACTTATGCAAACATTTGCTCCAAAATTGGTGCTCAAACTTCACCAAACTAAAGTGCTTTTCTACAAACTCTGTTGATTGGTGATATCATACATCTTGTGCATCAGAAAACCCCAAATGCACCAAAAAGCACCCATGGGAAACGGAAGAAAATTGCATTTGTTGATGATTATTAAATAAAATCATATCAAATATAATATTTTCTTCCGTTTCCCATGGGTGCTTTTTGGTGCATTTGGGGTTTTCTGATGCACAAGATGTATAATATCACCAATCAACAGAGTTTGTAGCAAATGTTTGCATAAATGTTTATGACACAATGTAAGAAGTTGTACATAAGTTACAAATGTCAGATAGCCTCATACACTAATTGAGTCCTTTGATACTTCAAAGAACCAAAAATTACTTGTCAAATTGTTGCCATTGCTGCAGTTTTAAAGGAAACATGACAAGAATATATGCCTGGTGCTGACAGTCAGCCATCTGGGACACGTGTTGTGGAATGTGTATTGCAAAGGATGATAGGATAGTATCATCTCCCCCCCTGGTTACCAGGTTACTATTCGAAGACGACAAAAGGCTATCAAAATTGCAAAGCTCTGCACAGTAATATATATATATATATATATATATATATATATATATATATATATATGGTTGTAAAAATGTTAAATCGTCCTAACAACATGCTGAAAATAACTGCAGATTTGGAAGTCATGTCTGGTACTTACCAAGTTGATGATGTTAACGACATATGCTTTAATATACAGATTAGTTGTTGGAGCAACCTCCACGTTGTAGACAGTCTCGCTAAGAAGATCCTTTTGAAGCTTGTATTTGTGGTCGACTGCAAAAGATTAAAAATGCTGTTAGATTCCCTGTCCAAACAGGTATTTACTCCAAGCTTGTATGAAGAAATTTATAGTAAGGCATTTTGCGATCTGGTGGATTATATAGGAAGTCGACCGGCCTGCCCCTTTTCAGTCCCCAAGCGCTGGCACACGGCAGACATGACCAAGAGAGAGGGATGGAGGCAGTCGTGCTTGGCCATTAATTATAAGCACGCATGGTCCCTGTGCATCCAATGCCACAGATTTGCTCCGTTACCGTTCGTGATACGTGTAAACTATCCAAAACCGTGTCCTAGCATGGTTCTGGATAAAGCACAATTGATGAAACAACACATACCAACACATTTAGGTTTCTGTGTTGCCCAGTCGAACTCTCCCGTTGATTCGTTGACTTGAACACACCGTGCTGTATTGGGGGGACTTCCCTTCGGGAACTTGAATCCCGTGTCACAGGTGTACGTGATTCTATTATAAGGCCAGTAGAACTTCAGGACGGGATTCCTTTTTCCGAACAGGGGTTTGCCCGGATCTTTGCACCCTTTAATCGAAGCTAATGAGAGATGGAATAAAATGAGTAGGGTGCTACTGCAAGATTGCTTTTTTACATACTAGGCTGAAATCAGTGTCTCTCATAAGTCTAATTATATACTAAGTAAACTTGTTGACATCCTCTCTGCATCATGTGGGGAAATGCTGTTTTTTCATTCAACAATTCAAGCATTGCGGCCAGAGGATGAGAAATTTTGTGGACAGACTACTCCTACGTCTTGCAAGCTACGGGGCTGAGTGATGTGAGTGTGTGTGAGTGAGTGAGTGAGTGAGTGAGTGAGTGAGTGAGTGAGTGAGTGAGTGAGTGATAATACGTATAACTTGATGACCTACTGTTGCAGGGCATTATGTCACAGTACTCAAAGCCACTGGATGTGAAGCACCATGGCCTGATGTCTCGAGCGCTCACAGGAGGGTTGCGACATTTGTTATCGACAAGATTCGACCATGGGTACTTTTTTGGGTGGATATCCGCGTCCCATCGATTGCAATCGCCTTCACCTATGGGGTCTCTGTACTCGTCCCCTCTGTAGTTTGCTCCATTTCCATTGAAGCACTCAACTGTAAGGACGACAGAAATCAATCATTACTAAGAAATTGGTCACCCACAACAATTGTATGACAAAATGGTAAATACAATTAGTTTAATGTATGTACTCTTCTATTACTAGTGAACAGAGACGAAATAATTACCATCTATTTATGGCTTCACCACTATGTGGTGAAGTCATATTGTTTTTCCTCATGTTTCTTCTTCTACTCAAATCTCCTTCTCCTCCTGCCATTTCGTTAAATGGATTCAATTTCTTCATTCATGGGCCAAATGGCATGAAATTTGGCATGAAGGTAGATTAGCCAAATACCCCCAGGCTTTTTTTCTTTTTTTGAACAATTGTTTTATTTGGATTTTTGGCCATTTTCAAGTAAAAAAAAATACATTTTGGGATCAGGAGCCCTGGTAATAGAACCAAATGACCTGAAATTTGGTATGTGGATACCTTGGACATATGTCAACAAAACCTCATTCAAGCCTTTGACATACACCACTTTAAAATTGTGTAAAATATGGCTTTTTGGCTATTTTCAGCCAAAAAAATTTACATTTTGGCTCCTGTGCCATAATATTGAATCCGAATGTCCCGAAATTCGGTATGGGGATACCTTGGACACATGTCAAAAGAATGCCATTCACGCTTTTGACGTACACTACTTAGAATTGTGTAAAATAGGGCTTTTGGGCTATTTTTGGACAAAATCTGTACATTTTTGGTCCTGGAGACCTGGTATTACACTCAAATCATCTGAAATTTGGTATGTGTATGCTTTATTTTCTACCAACAACAACAATTAATTGTAATTTTTGGCATACTCTCCCTTAAACTTGTATAAATTGGGATTTTTTGGCCGTTTTTAGGTCACAATTTATGATATAGTTGGGGATGACTATCCATGAGTCATCAGTCTGGCATGCACAGCAAGAACCAATAGGCATGCAGCTTTCCTCTAATCTTCTTGCTGATTGGCTGTTGGAATTTGATTGAGTTCACTCCATGAACAGCTGCATACCATAAGTAGGTACTGCATCGAAGTGTTTTGGTATGTATGTCAAACTTTCCTGCTCAAGCATTGGAATGTGGGGCATAAACGCTTTTTTATCTTGAAAATCAACAGTTTGCATGCATCATGCAAATAAAAATACTACTCAATAATGTAAGGGGATAGCTATCCAACTGTTGTACCCGTAGTTATATGTCACTTTATACTATAGTTATATCGATGTAAAATATTGCTTCCCTTGTCATGAAAGTTTATCTGTGTTGGTACAAGTCATTATGAAATAATTCTAAGCTTTTAACTTCCAACACTAAGATTACAGAATTAGGACTTACCCAAATTTTCGGTTGAGTCTATCAACCTTGTTCACGGAATGGACCCGTCTACTCTTGGAACGTGACGTCAGAGACACGTGGCCGTAGTAGCTAGTAATACGTGCTAGATAACTTGTGTCGCCCCCCGTCTCTGTTCAGGGTAGGTCTGTGAGCTCTTATGTAAGAGCTCTTATGTAAGAGCTCACAGACCTACCATGAACAGAGACGGGGGGCGACACAAGTTATCTAGCACGTATGACCCGCTTTTACGGTCACGTGTCTCTGACTTTTTAAACGTTGTAACTGAGTTTGCCATTATTACTTTAACTGGTAGTCTATTCCATGACCCTGCTCCTGAGTAGAAAATAGACCTTCTGTATACTTCCCGACGGACCGTCGGCAGGTGAAGAAGGTCAGAATCGCTTTGTCATGTTGATCGTACTGGCCTATGTCTACAGTATTTAACATTTGTCTCATGTATTCTAATAGAAAGTTGCTAAGGCACTTTTAAGTTAGCAAAAGAAAGAGTACAATAATCAGAATGCATAGAAAACACAAATTTGTGTCTGAGAAAATACGATCTATTTTGTGTATACTATATATTGTCCATGATGTAAGGAGATCGAGTCGGGCCATGACATAAGTACAAAGTAGAAAAAAAAATCTTCGGGAGAATTACGCTGGTTTATCAACGGACTGCTCTCGGCGTTTTGCACAGTATTTTCTTTAATATTGGCGGGGCATTTAGAATGGGTTAGTTTCTGCAACAAAACGCTCTGGCCAACTTCGGATTGGCACAAAAGAAATAGAGATATGCTCTTTTTTCCATGTAGGATAAAATTGTCCGGATCGAGCCAAATAGATTGGCTCGATCCGGATTTTACACCAGTGGGAAGGCTCCGATTGGGTTTGGCTTGATACGGATCAGCAACGACTAACGTTTGCCTCGCAAGGTTGGACATTGCTGAGAACCGAACCGGATTTCGAGCTTTCTTATTTGGGTAAAGTTGACGGGATCAAAATCAGATCAAAGCTGGTCACTAATCCATTCGGCTCAATCCGAGCATTTTTTTCCTAGTGGAAAAAAGGCTATAGACCTACCGCCAGTCTGGGTCCTTGAAGGCCTGACGTTGTTGCAGTTGTTGTAGTGGAACATGTCACAGGTTGGGAAAATTGACCAGGTTGGCTGATGTTTACACGAGTACTTGACCTCTTCACACCAAGACCGACAGGGCAGCATTTGCCGGGGGTTCGGACTAAAACTAAAAAGTCACAAGAAGACAATGATGGCTACACTGATAACGACATGGCGACAAATTGCAGTGGTGCCAAAGAATTCATACAAACATTTTACAGAATGGATTTTACGAAATACATACGATATACTAGTAAACATAAGAATTTTACGAAATACATACTGTCCTTTACCGGAAACATATGGATTTTACGGAGTATATTAGATCTCTTACGCGGAAAATGCAGTGGATACAACAGGAATGCCCTTATACTTAGTATCAATGTAGTTTTAGTTATAAAGAAAGATGTGTGTTACTTCGGCAATAGGCTGGATGTACGGAAATTGGCAATAACGTACCTGGAATTGCAGCGCGGCGCAATGATGGCACAGACGTAATCTTTAATACGGGGATGACACCCGGAAACCGCCAGATCCCTGTAGGCATTGAACTGGTTTGACCTTGCGATGTCATCTACCGTTGTGTAGGCGGAGTTGAGAGGATTGGCAAGTGTCATTTTGTCGTACTCAAGGTCACTGCACATCCTCAAAGACTCTGGAATATCTTGACAAGCTGGATGAGAAAACAAAAACGCATCACCCCTCGTGAAACATTTGATCAAGTTGATTGAATGATTGATCGATAGCAAACATTCTTTCATCACAACTACACTAACCAACGTTTTGATGGTCGTCCGTAATCTTCGTCAAGGACATGGCCATCTGTCATCTTCTTTAGGGCAAATTTCCATGATGAAAAATCATTGCCGAAACATATATTTCTGTTTATGTTTGGAAACGCATTCTTATTAGCCATAACCCACAGCTTCAGTGAACAGTGAACCAATCATGATAAATGCTCTGATGAAGATGACAGACGGTCATCGAAATGTTGGCTCTTGTTAATAAAGAACGTTGCTATTCATAAACACATCACTTGTGTTGTTTTGAAATGGAAGGGGGTTAACATTTATTTTCAGCGTTTCCTTTTATTGTCTAACCCCCAGTACCACATCAGTACAACACCTGTTATGCTTCGGTCCCAATTGAAGAAAGGGGCCCTAGCGGGTAGTTCAGAACCATGCCCGACCATGGTTTAAGATAAAGCATACAGCAGCCGTAAAAGAAAACCGTAAAAGAAAATAAGAGCTGGTTCTGTAAGCGACCATAGTCCAAGACATTCAAGATAAGGATGTCGTTGAAGGTATTTTAAATACGGTGTAGGTCATGGATAGGCCATTCAGGTTGCTCCAAAGTCTGTGTAACACAATATTTCACTCTCCAGACCTTGTGACCGTTTGGGAAATATCAATTTATAGTATATAGAAACTCAGAATTCTAAGAATTCATTATCACTAGTTTAACCCTTGTCCTGCTGGTATTTTTTTAAACATTATTTTTCAATAATTTCATGTCTGAATCAGGTCATAGGCCCTAGACATTTTTTGTGCTCTTTGGTGGCATTAATTGACTTTCGCCGAGGTTTAATGCGTTGTACATACCCCCAAATCCTACATATACAGGGTACTATATGAATGGTAATCTTACTGTATGTGCATCCCATGTGTATATATGCCCACGGGACAAGGGCTTTAAAGATTTTTAACATTGATTTACAATGTTATTCAACGTACAATTTTATTGTAAATCAACGTATGCTAACCTAGTACCTACCACAGGTGTTTGCATCCTCATCTTCACCGTCTCTGCAGTCGTTGTTTCCGTCACACCGTTCCCAAGCTTTTATGCAGGTCACACCGTCATCACACAGGAACTGGCCGACCTCACAGGTAGATAACACTGCAAAACAAATTACACATATAAATACAGAATACAACGCGGTGTATCCCGTATCACCCGAGGTACCAGTCCGACCGCGGGTCAAATCGCCGGAGGGAGATCCAACTTGCGGGAGGACTAAGTCCGACTGTGATGCCGAATACACAGTGTTATATTTTATTTATGTCATACGTGCCCGAGAAAACGCACCGTTCAATGCAAAATGAGCCAAAGTTTGGTGGCCCTAAACCAAAAAGAGATGCAAGAGCATCAGTTCGAACTTCCGAATCCTGTCGAATAAACGTGAAACGTCCAAATTTTCGAAAGCGGCGAAACGCATGTGAATTATCCTTTGAAACATTTGGATGTCTGTGTGATAACGAGATATGTATAGAACCCTGGGCTGTACTAAAGTATATAGAATACTGCACGGTGTATTCCGTATCGCCCGAAGGACGGGTGGGAGATCCGATCCGCCGGAGGGCTGGGACCGACTGTGATGCGATGGAAATACACCATGTAGTAGTTTATTTAATCTTCAATCCACCTAACCCCTCGTCCACTTTCGATCCCATCAGCAACGACCGTTCTGAAAAGCGACGCCCGTTTACGAGATGGAATTTTTTATTGCCTACGTATATCTGAACTGCCTTACTGATTTAAAGTAGATTAGAGATCATTGCATTGGCGTTCATGTTATCAGGAAAGACCAATATTGTCACACAACCAACAGTTTAGTTGGTGTACCTTTTTCTACTGCTGTGTAGTTGGCCTGAAATCCCTTCAGGTTTCCTGATAAGTTAGAGGTAAATCTAACAGTCATGATGCTTCGGGTTGACGTTATTGGACTCGGGATGTTTGCTCCATGAAGCCTTTCTGTAAAAGGTAGGCAGATCACAAATAACAACGGTGTTACGCACATATGATTTGCTGGCTAAATATGAAAGTATTCCATCGCTTATTCTAAAAATAAAACATAAATTTTATGTGTTTTCACATCATTATGTTATATCGTAATGCTTTTGTAACAATAATTCAATTGCTGTGAAGAAAGCGCACCGAGTATCCGGTAGGAGTTTTCCTGAATATGGTTTGTTCTACCGCATAAATACATGTATTATATATCATGATGAAGATAAACTCAATTCTCCTGACCTATCTGTGCTGTGTATTATATATCACGATGAAGATGTTCTCAATTCTCCTGACCTATCTGTGCTGGTCAGCAAACTTCTAGGGGCCTGATCAGCGGGGACGGGGGGTATGCTGCTAGAAGCGTGATGTAGTAAGGGCAAAAATAACCTTTACGCCGTAGTTCCCTTCGCTAAGAAGGTTATGTTTTCAGAGGCGTACGTGTGTGTGTGTCTGTCTGTGTGTCTGCCTGCCTGTCTGTCTATCAGGCTGTACTGTCAACACGATAACTGGAGGATCCTATTTGCATAATCAGGAGGAGTAATCTTTACTTTGTCAGTCATAAAGATTAACATCATTTGGCGAAGGTATGAGATCGTGAAACTCTAGTTTACTACTGAAACACAATTATTTTCCTCACTTATCTCCCACGCTTCATCAGTTGTGTTTCCGTCATAGACGTACAGGAAGTCAGACCGCTCCTCAAGGTTGAAATCCGTGAAGGTCAGCCTGACGACTTTGGGCGGAGTGACAGAGATCTCGTAGCGGCACTCATTGCCGTTAGGGTACAAGTTTGGGTAGTTTGGGCTGGTGAACGTCCCATCGTCACCCGTCAGGCGTTTGTCGCATACTGTTAACACAAGAGAAGTAGACAAAAGAACCCTGGTAGTTGTCCCAAAAGAGATATTACAAGAATTTGGTACATTGTTTAAAATAAAAATTTTGGATCCAACACAAAGAATAGTTCTCAAATCTTTCGACTGGTCACTCTGGTAATCCTCAGTAGACTGATCCAGTGAGACATGTCACCTGGCTATGACGTTCATTGACGTGTCAAAAAAAAAACTATGGCTATTGACAGGGCGGTCCTGTCAATAACATAAAGTATTGCACTGCTGACAGGACGGTCCTGTCACTACTGTCGTACCAGTAACGTTACTGGTACAAAAGGACCCAAGAGAATAAGACAGTGACTATTACACAAACAGACCGTTAATGACTAAGTAAGAACCATGGAGGTCTAAAGAAAGTTATATTCTTGCTGTTTGTGGCGGACTTTGTTGTGGTTCTGGGAAATACCGTAGTGTTGCCCGCCCACTTGGGTAGAAATAAATGTTTGTTTATTACCTCCATGAAAAATGGAGGTATTGTTTTTGGCGCGTCTGTGTGTGTGTGTGTGTGTGTGTGTGTGTGTGTATGTGTGTGTGTGTTTCCGCACATTTGTAGTCAGCATAACTTTATAACGCCTTTATGGATTGTGATGATATTTCGTATGCTGGTTAGTCTTAGCTATAGGAAGCCGAAAGTCAAGGCCAAATATGGGCCTCCTGATGGATGACCTTGGTACTGCAGCAGAACTTCCGGTTTTTGTATCTTTTGTCCTGAACATGCTACGGTCTGGATGTTTTGATGACAGATAGCTTATCCTGTCAAGAATAAATGGTGTAAGTTTGATCTCCCTAGCGGATTGTTCTTGAACTGCAGGCTAGTTTCTGGTAAAAACTTTTAAAGCCAGTAAGTCCAGATAGGAACAACATATTCTCATCATTTTTTGTATGTAGGTAACTGAGAGAGAGTTTTACATAATTAAGTACAAATTATGCAAATGAGGACTTATTTTGCATAATTAATGAGAAAATTCTATAATTACAGTGTTTTATATAATTGTACTGCTATACATATCTATTTAATCTGTAGCAGGCGGAACATCAACAGATACCAATTATGCAAATGATGACGTTGTTTGCAGAATTTTGTGACTCCTTATTGGTGAATGATGGGTTACTGAAAGGTTAACACCACTATGCATATATTATGTTAATGTACAGGTCATTTGCATAATTAATGAGGACATGTCATTTACAAAAACTCATATATTTCATGGAGGTATCAGATCTAGGAATTTTCGGGACGGTGAACTGTCATCCAGAACTCGCCTCCGGGATGACAGACACGCGCTGCTGCCGCATGGCTTACGGGAGGACAGGCACGCGCTGCCGAGCGGGGGATCAGTGTAGGTACGGCGATCTCAAGCTGGGGCCGCAGAATCGTAAAAATTGGCCGAATAGCAACCTACATAAGCACCGGGGCAAAATTGAAATTGAAAAAAAAATTCCCGAAATTTTATCCGTCCTGTCAATAGTAGAATAATTTGCAATGCTGACAGGATTTTTTTACAATAATTTCTGTTATTGACAGGACGGTCAGTTTGTTACATTTGTTGCGTTGCGTTAACTATGTTACATTTCAATCGTCACATAAACGTGCATGAGTGGACGTTCTGTTCACCAGCTCTTAATTTTACAGGATTGGACCTTACCGCATACTGGTACGTCACAATTCTCCCATGTCTCGCCGGGATCCGTCGTGTAACACCAAATCTCGTGCCAGCTTCCTGGATTCCGGCAGTAGTTATTCTCCAACCCGGCTAATGGGTAATTAACAGGTGTATATTGGTGTTGATGGGGTGTCTGACTGTTCCAGCGTTGACAAGTCTTGCCTGTTTCTGTCATAGAGGCTGTCCCTCGGTAGGATGCTCCATTTCCCTGCTGGCAATTTTCTGGTGGAAGGGATTTAAACGATGTCTTGAATTCAAAGGCTCACGTGAAAAATAACCACGTTAAGGATGGGGAGGAGGGTTACGAAGACGCAGTATGGAGTCAAGATACCATCGTGGAGGCACACATGTGTGTGTGTGTTTGTGGGTGTGTGTATGTATGTTAGTATGTATGTTTGTGGTTTAGCACAATAACTCAAGCTTTAGATGGATTGTTATATAACTTGGTGAGTGTGTAGGTCTTCATGTGACCTAGAAATGATTAGATTTAAGCCCCCTTGCGGCTTGTTACGGTACTGCAGCGGTACTTCCGGTTTTGATATCTCATGATCTGGACATGCTAGGGTCATAAAGTTTGGATGGTAAAAAGATTTTTATGTAAGCCTGTGCACCACAAAAGAGTACCTAGTACTACTACCTATAGCTAGTTCCTCATGTACCTAGAAAGTAAAATTCCTGCACACTGATTACTTACTGCACCATTAGGGTCGCCCCAGAGGCGTTGCCAATACTAATACAACAAACAGTATGTAGCAGTCTTCCAAGCACAGGAAATAACAATAGTATACTCACGGGTGTTAAGCATGGGAGATTGGGTGGTTTTGGTCGTTTGGGATGATACGCTTTGAAGCAGTAGCCAGCAGGAAACCGCACTAAGCGTCCACATGATGTACACTAGACATGGGTGATAAAAGGCATCTATTAAGATAAAAGGAATCTATTAAGATGAAGAGTAACGAATTTAATATCAATCAAATATTATTTCCAAATAAGGATAAATAAAAATAACCATTGTTATTTTGTCGACATTTCAAAGTTTTTTATTTGACTGTTCGAAAGTACCGGAGGAAGATACACGGAGGAAGACATACATGCAATCCAACTTTTATATTTCAAGCGCAATGGAAAGAAATAGGGGTCTAGTTTTTTTACCAGAGTAAGAAAAAATGTTTTTGTCCTGATAATTTCACGCCCGGTTGGTTCAGTATGTAAACATAACCCACCATGACCTTTATATGTATATCCATGCGCACAGTCAGTACAGACCCAAGTACTCATCTTTTTTAAACACTGAGTATCAAATAGTAGTAAACTATATTTTTTACTGACTTTTGGGGATGGCAACTAGAGACGAATTTCTTTCTCAAGATCTCCAAGCAGATCATACGGTGGCAAAGAAGTATCTATTGGCCACAGGAGTGCTAATTAGCCACCAAAGATGTGCCAGGACTCGCCCAGGGAGGAACAATTCGTTTCAAAAATGGTATTGCTGCCCCTCCTTGTGTCCCTATGAAGAGCCAAGATTTAGTTGTGCCAAGATTTTACAAGCGGTTTATAGCTTGAATCTGGGACACATTCTGTCACCCGCGCACATATCATGCAGTAAGAGTTCGTGCCTAGCTGGACCAGATAATACTGTAGGCAGTACTAAAATATGCTGACTGAAACATAGAAATGAATAACTGGGGTTCTTGTGGTTCAAAACCCCAGACATCACGAAACGCATGTTGAACCATCTTTTTCTTTGTTTAAACTGTCTAAAATAAGTATAGAGACTCTTTCTGTAACGGTCAACCAGCTGGCTCACAAGGAGGCAAGACCCTTGAATGGTGGTCAGGGCAAAAAAAAACTACCTGGCAAGCACATTTTGATTAGGTAACAACTAGATGTCAACAGCCTTTGAACTTTTCGACTTCTAGCAAATCTTCGGTGGCTAATAGACACTCCGTTGGTCAATATAGATACTACCTTACCACCGTTTGATCTGCTTAGAGATTACCCAAGAAACCCGTGTTAACTGAACTGTTGTGTCTTCGGAGTTCCCTTTATATAATTTCTAGATGCAGTTGTTGCACGGTGTGCAGAAAATATATTTATAAATCTTAATCAAGAATTTGAGGTTGATCAAAACCTATAAACAACCGATTGTGTTAAGTGAGGTACGAGTAGGTCGATCAAAATGTCTATTATCAAATCAGAGGGTCTGCATGGGAAGGGGGGGGGGTATATAAACGTAACGCTTATCGGCAAATTGGTAATTGTTTATATACGCACAACACACGCTAAATTCGGGAATACGAATTGGTAAAACTAGAAAGCTAACTTACATACAGAAACGGGCGCTCGGTTGTGACTGTTGGAGTTCTGGAGTTCGACTACGAAGAACCTGTAACCGATGACTTCTGACGTATGAAGTAACCTGCAACATAGAATTAAAGAAATCAATTACGTCTCAATGACAGTATACCGACAACGCATTTATGTCACGTATCCCTCATTCAGGGTCAAACGTGAGGGCATTGGTGAAATGTAGCCTTAAGCCACAACATGTTACCTCTGAACCCGTTCAACAGCTTCCCTTTGTTTGAAGCCAATATGGTACCGGGGACTGACTGGCTCAACCAGAATGCCTCGAGGTGTTAAAAGACTATGTTATCTAGTAGAACTATAAAATTCCATGCCTACTTTCGGAGTCTTCTTATTTATGTACAATCGTTCGAGCAATAATTGGGGGCTAGGTTACCCTTTGATAAAATGCTGATTTTACGATTTGGTCACATTCACTGTTTTACTATTTGGACGTCGTATATAGTTTAGACTGTGAAAGATCCAACCACAGGCAGCCTTTTTGTAACACAAAAGCTGGGCTTTGTATGGCTAGGCAAATAATGTCCTTGTCACTTGAAATGACAGTGACAAATAGTTCATGCTCTCATAAAGCATTGCAGCTAACACTAGTTAATTACACTAATTTGATGGTCAAACGATAGGCTTTAAACACACAATAACAACGTTAATTGAATATAATGTACAATACTCCTGTATGTACGTAAACCACCATGGCTAGCTGAAATGCGTACCTAAACGGAACCTACACGCGCAGAAATATTGATTGACCTACTGCAGCCTCCTTTATAAACATAGATGACCAGTTAGTAACTCAGGACAACAACTAATTAAAAGTGGCAAAAATGCATTACATCGGCCCGAAAATTCATTACTTTTTACGTACGTGTTGGAACAGATTTTAGGTCATATTACATACCAATGCGTACAGTTGAGCCTTTGTGATGTTTATAAGTTTATAAAGATAGAATGGACAGGATTTGTAGATCAGTGCTCACCTTGTGTCGGTCCAGCGGCTGAACATCAAACCCACCCGGGTCTGTGTTCGACTGAGTCCCAGGGCCGAGTGACGACACTTGGCATTTGGTACGTGTCATGTGGCAAAACTCGTGCACACTAATGAGTCATACGAACGATTAGCCTATTCCATTAGCCTTGTTGAAAGGGGAGGGATACAGAAATATACTTTGTCGTATATGTCGTTTGTATCGCACACGAAAATCAATGTCTGCCCTAAATATACACAATATCGTGCCTCCCTTTTTAGCAATTAGCTAAGTTGGTAGGATTTGACATAAACCTCAATGATCTCTCTGATGATGTTTTAGTTCATTTATTCCTTAGAGGTTCTGTATCACTATCATATCCAAATAACTTAAAATTTTTACTTTATGTTCAATCATTTATAAAGGAAACTAAAAGATTTGAGTAATCTTTCCTATCAATTTTGTAAGTTTTGCCTGTAGTACTTTACACATTGTAACCTTATTCATTCTATTCTGTTATTATTAAGCTTTGCATGTCTGTTTTTGCATTTGCTTTTGTATTTTTGTAATGTCAGATGGCGACATGAACATAAGCTCCGGCTTGAGTGTGTCGTCATCCTGTCCACTTTGCTTCTAAATGTTTTAATAAAGAAAAAAAATGTTTGCCGTGAATATGCGTTTCCTGTACAATTACAACAGTTAATTCACTACTACGAAAGAAACCCTCCTTATTCACAGATTTTGATGAAATTAATTGAATTTACTGTAGACCGTTATCTTGTAGGAAAATGTAAAAAAATGCAAATGTCCAATGTCAAAGGAAAGAAGGTAGGCAAAACTTTACAAAGATCCAATGATAGGGTCGGCCAAATCACCTTTTTTATTGGATTCACTGCGTAAGATTCACTGTTCTGTTTGCATCCCAGAATATGTAGTAATCGTAATGTATTAAAACTTTTTAAAAGTCAAAATTATGTGCTCTTGTATAAAAAACTTTTTAAAAAATTATTTACATAATTGCAGTCAGAGAAACTGTGTATGAGAAATGGCATAATTTTTTGGAGAAATATGACAGATAATTCACACTAAGTCATGATTTAGGAAGTGTGCTGTAAAGAACACCATAGACTGGTAGAGGACAAATTGTGAAAGGGCCGAGGTCGGCCAGGACTGTTCTTCTCCTATACGTCGTAGGGGGCGCTGTCAGTCTGTACATGCACCCTTGCCTCAGGGGACAAGGGAAAAATACGTTACAGTTTACCACAAGGTTTTTCCGCGGTTCGGTTAGATTATGTCCTTGAGTTTGGGCAGCAGGAATGGTCCATTGGTTTCACGGTTCTGTATGTTAGGATTCCAAAATGTGTAGCAATCCCAATAAGTAAGAAATCGATCGGAAATATCTTAAAACCTAAGATCATATATGTTATATGCTTTCCAAATGATTTTACACTCTTTCCCGTCTGGCAAATGGCACAATATGTGGAATGGGACAGGGCCCCAATATCATGAGAAAATCACAATATTCGGTGATAAGTGTGGTATCTGGGACATTATAGAGGAGACCCAAAAGCAAGGCCATGACTGTTATTTTCTTCTAAGTCGCAAGGGGCGCTGTCGGTCTGTATGTGTACCCTAGGCCTTTTCTCGGGAAATGAGTAACAAAGGGATTCTGTTGAACCTACATGTATGGCACAATCGCTCATGCATGTGCTCGACCTTACAGGCCTCGGCAGCAAATGTCTCTAATGGTGGGTTTAGATACTCATAGCAACTTTTCCGCATACGGACTTAGACTAACGCGGTTAGAGTCAAACCTGTCTGCCACTGCAACTTTAATGCTTTTAAAATACTGTAGTTCTAACCACGAGTAGAAGTGAGCCGCGCATGCTTTTATATATATATAATGTGCTGTAGTAGTAGCAGACGATGGGAAACAAGTCAGAGTAAAACAGGCTTCATGACTGCAACTTTTGTACAAGTTTTGGTACAGTCATTATTGCTATACCAGACATCGGGAAGTCTTTGGATACCTTACGTTTAAAATAGCTACCACCTACCTTGATGTAGATGGGTGGTCCCCGTTTTCGTTCTTGGCGCCGTGCCCATTTGGTCCTACGCACCCCAACAAAACTACATGACATTATAATTTTAACAAAAGATTAAAGATGGACTAACATAGGTCAACTAAAATAGATAAACTTATCGTGAACAAGACAAAATCGTAACTAACCCATCAACAATCAAATGAAATAAGGTAACATAGAAATAATTATAATCGTTCAGATATCAAATCATAATGGTAGATAGTCAAAAGGTATGTCAACTTAAAAGTAAATAACTAAAAGTGGAGTCTGCATATCAATGGAAAGAAATATAAATAATCAAACCAAAGTGGCATGGAAAGTCAAATAATACAGAAGTAACGGAACAAGTTGACCTTGGTATGTCAGTGTTCAGTAGTTATATATTCTTGATTGTAGATCTTTTTGAACAGCTTAAGTGTTCCTGCCAATTTTAGGCGAGACGAAAGCGAGTTCCATAACGTCGCCCCAGAGCACGAAAATGCTTTCTTTCTGTGCTCAGATTTTAGTACAGTTTAAGTACAGACCTGCCTCTTCCTGTTGTGGCATTAAAATCGCCCATGACTACAAGATACTACATACTATACGGCGATTGACTCCTGATAGGTTGTAAAGACAACAGCTTGTAAAAAAAGGGACTTTGTGTCACTACATGAGTTTGTGGGTCCCAAGTCAAGATTTGACTAGAACTTTTGACTTTTAAGATTTGACTAGAACTACAGCATCGTAGTTTCTAAGCGTCTGTCCCCAACAAATGTCTATATTTCTTCTGTAAATTGCAAGGGTTATCAGAGTTTTCCTTTTTCCTATTGAGGCTTTTTGTCACATTTAGTAGGTATTGTAAACAAAGAAAAGCAAAGTTGTAAACTCATAAGGTATAGATCCTGATGTGGGAGGGGAGGCGTCATTTTCACTGATACAGTATTGGTTCTCAATTGCTAACAGAAATCATAAATAGTAACATAAAATAACTTTTAACCCTGTCCACAACTTATCTGATGATGACATTGTCCTCCAGGGACTACTGAGGATTTGATAGACTTAGATTCTCAAGGGCAAAGGTCACCAAATTGCGCCTGCCCAGAAGCCCCAATTCTGAGACCCCGATTTGATAATCGCATCCAAACCAACTGAAAACATCCTTTTTTTTGGAATGTGTTGATAAATGGTTGCATTTTCCAGCTGGAGAGTAATGTCTCTTTCTGTTTTGTTGAAAAAAAAATGGCTATTAGTGTTGTTTTGGCTGCTTGTTATAGCTCTAAAACAAATCCCTTCTTGTTGTGTTTTGGTGGTCTCCATAGGGGTCAGAGGTCATTCTCTCATTGTTTTGATTTTTCGTACTATGTTTCTCTCTTTAGAAAGTGACATTTTGGGGCTAAATGGACAATTTGGAGGTTGAACTACCCTGTCAAGTGACTTTTCCATAGTTGAACACTCATGTAGGTAGTTTTTGACAGCTTATTTTTGGTAATATAACTATGTTTACAATGCAAGTCTATGGGGTTTGGATTCGGTAGGCTGTCCCCTCAAGGCTGCTAGTCCTAAGACGGTGGCCATCTTGGTAACCCTTGACCTCTTCACCATCTCCCCCAATGTTTGCAGAAGATGATAACTGCCGTTGAAGACCAAAAAACGTAATATTTTGCTACTCTAAAAAATAAGGCAAGCTCACGAATGCTTTCTGTCATCTCATTGTATCAAAGAGTTTAGTTACTTTGTGGTTCAAATACTGTATTGTATTTAAAAATACATATCATAATGAATGAATGCACATTATTGCTCAACAATCGTAGAAGGTACAATGTATGGCAGTAATACAACAATACTACATAACTTTACTTATTACAAACTACTATCTAAACAGTATTTGAGTTACCTTATGGTCATGTATCGATGATATGTTCTCGCTTATGGAATAAAGTGTACAAAAAATTGGCGTGAGTTTCATCAATCACGTAGAATTAACAGTTAGTAGAAATTCTTCGATTAGTGACTGTATTTTGTAAGGTAAATTACGTACCTACATATTTTGGAGGTACGTAATTTACCCTACAAAATACAGTCACTGATCGAAGAATTTCTACAAAGTGTGATATTTGATATTAAAATTAAACTTGATCCAACTTTAGTTAGCTTGACAAAATCATTTGATATTGTGACATGATCTTAAAGGTCTATCGTAGGATTCAAAATCGAATACGTTGGAAGCTTTCAGAATCTTTCAGGAATCGAAATTTGTGTCCTTTTATACGTTTACATCTTTATAAAATTAGGTTCTTTCCGTCCGAGTGACATGAGTATTCACAATACAAAATGATTTATATGAAATGTACTATCTAGAACATTATGAAAGACAACGGAGCTTCTTTTACCATAATGGTACTTAGTAACTACCGTAGACACAAACGTTTCTCCGTATTGTTAGATTATTAATATGTACTTGACCTCAGCTGGAGATGTCATTTTATACACTGTTACTCCTGGGGTCTTACAAAACTCCTGTAAATGATAGCAGCACTGTATGTTTAATTCTACCTTACCCTGGTGGAATTCAGGATCACACAGGTAAAGCCGGTATAAAACCGCCCTTCGGCGTAACACACCAGCTTCGCAGGCACGGGGCGCGGCGGCAGCTAGCTATATCAAACCGATCGAACGACTTGTTACGCTCAATCTTGGCACATTTAATTGCAGGAGTTGTTTAAAGCTTTGTAGTGATGTTGCCCCAATTGTGCTTGGTGGCAACAGGTTCAAGTCTACGATCATAGTTCTTAGGAAATACGATTTATTTTAAATTCTTGGTTGATAACTCTGATATTTGAAGGCATGCATGTTTGCTTCTTGTTCTTTTCCCGTTTCCGGTCTGTTATCAGATACGCAGTGGCTGGTACGTCCACTAGTTTATTAGTAATTTTGTACATCAAGTCTGGACATTCTACGTCTGCCTTCCAGCAACACCCACTGTAGGTTAATTTTCATTTCCGTTGCACTAGCACCCCTTTCGTACAGTAGTTTTTCTTGCCGAATCTTGCAGCTTGGTTCTGTACCCTTTCCAGTTTATCTTTTTCTTTGTATATGGATGCCATACTGTCGCGGAATATTGCATGTTTGGTCTTACAAGTGACGTGTGTACAAGTGATTTTACACTTGTTTGGCATGATCATAGATTTTGTTTAATCACTTCCAATGTCTGTTTGGCCTTAGCAGTGATGTTGTTAACATGCATGCCCCACTTCAGATTACTTGTCAATGAAACACCGAGATACGAGTTTGTTTTTGTTGTTGTGTGTGGAGTTCTTTTGTTTGATATATCTCACTTAAGGACTATCAATAAGTCTTAGGGTACTAGTAGCCATTTTACCTTAGGTTGGCATGTTTTTTCTGCTCTATTTCAACTTTTAAAATGATGCAAAGGATTAAAAGTTATTGTTTAAGAATACGTTAAACTACTCCTTTTTAATAATCCTTCACAACTTAAGATCCCTTTTGAAGACACTAGTCGATATCTTAGACAAAAATGAAGACAACACAAGTGTGTGAAGAGGTTCCACGTGTCTATTCAAACTTTAGATGGTGTACAAGTTGAAACAGGAACGCACAACCCTGTGCGAACATAATGAATGAGATGTTTTCTGGACACAAAATACTGGAAACCAGCACGTCGGCAGAACGCACTGTACCTGCGCTAAACCCACAATGTATTGTGCATAGCACTTCGGTAGAACGTCTCATATAATGTAGTAATTACGTATATAAAGATGACATCCTGTTTGTATTTTCCAAATATCGTGTCGAAAAAAAGTCGTCTGCAAGAGGCCAAATTCTAATGCAATGTTGACCAAACATCCAACGAAAACCGTGAAAAATTTGGGGTTTCGCGTAGGCGCAGTAAGCTCTGCAGACGTGCGTTGGATCATGGAAACCAACTCTTCGCTATATTATTATGTCTTGATTAAATACAGCAAAGCCGCAGAATAAAGAAGAAAAAGTCAGGTCTGCTGATACATGTGTCTGACAACTTCCTCATCCTCGCCTAGACTTACCAATCTTTCGATACCATTGCAGTAGTCTCTTTGGTGGATACAGTGCCTCAGTCACAAAGCTATCATCAGCAATGACATGTCAGCAAAACAGCTACAAGTAAATATATAAGTACTAGTTCTGATCAATTCATTCATTTGTTGAAGCAAATTGACCTGATGAAATGAAAGTGATCTCTAGAGAAGCACAGGAATGAATGTACTAGTCGATAGTGCAAGAGTATACTTGATTAGTTATGCGTATAATGCTTGTTTAAATGTTAACTTACAGTTATGCCAAACTAACCTTATTACCTTACGCCTATGACAAACTAACCTTATTAACTTATAGCTATGCCAAAATAATTTTATCAGTTCTAATTATTCTCGGTTCTAAATCCTATATGGTCTACCTCAGAGTCTGTTACCGCGTCTTTCTAAGCTATTTCTGTCTATTAAGCCTTTTATATATAGTCTAAATAGCAAATAAACGTAATTTACCTATTATTGTAAGCCTTGCCTTTACTATTAAATCTGCTACGTTAAAACTTATTTAATATATCCCTGTGACACAGCAAGATTCACGGTATATTTAATCAAATAAAGTTTTGTAGTGACGTTTAACAAATCCTAATGTTAGAAGAAAAAAAAACCCTAAATTCAGCCATTAACATATGATTTCCATCATCGTGTATCTTGCGTATTACAGGTGTCATATAGGTGACTTATAATTGATACAATATCTTTATCTAGATTACTAAACTACATAATTGTGCAGTTATTAGCAATTCAAAACTACCATAGACAGAAAATGATAGAATGTTGCCTACTTTGCAATTGTACTTTGTAAGAGAAACAAAAAACTAGCATAAGCGATATAAGGTAAATATTATATTCAAATAACTCGTACATCCCTGTTCGAATGAGGGGGCTTTAAAGTTGCCAAACTGTTGATTTCAAAAAGAAATCCTCGGGATTCTCAAATAATCTCCAAGCACATCTTTTGGTGGGGGGAGTATATCAAATAGGTCTGTATCCATTTCCCCTCCAAAAGATCTGCTTGGAAATTAATTCTCAATCAAGATCTTTCATTTAGCCCCAGATATAAGAACTCATTTAACGATTATGACATCAGATGAAAGTTTTTTTCAGTATGCAAAGATAGGCGAAATACGATCCATCTACATGAATCATAATGTCTACTGATAGTTATCTTCAAAAGAATGCAGCAATTAAGATGAACATAGAAAATGGCATTGCGGATATAATCATGGCCATCGCTTATACTAGTAGTACCGTACAGGAAGAGCGCACAAGCTATATTTGTACAATCATATTAAGACATACGGAAATGGAGCTGTGGTGACTTCTGCGTGCTAAGAGATGGGCTACTTTATACTGAAGTGAAGAAACATGGCTTCCGTACCGTCCTCAAACTAAGTCGCTCCGATCCTCAACAAAAGACCCGTCACGAAATCAACAGTAACACACCGGAGGCAGCAGTGAAATGACACCAGCAGAAGAACTAAAAGATCCAGGAACACCCAAGGACAGAAAATGCTTTGTTTGACAATTATACGATGGAGACATCTAATTATTGTTATGTATTCACTAAGACATCTAGTCGTTGAGACAAGCTTAGTAAAGTGACAGATACTAGAATTAAAATAGATTTCAACTCCGTACTAAAAGTCATGCGTCCATCAGGAAGGCTACGAAAAATACGGGACGGCACTTAACGACACGGACAACCGTTACAAATGTTTGTAAACGGCAGAGACCAACGCACGAGGGCAACAAGCGCGAGTAATCAACTGGTTGTCCCAAAACATCAGCGAGAGAGATTCAAAAGATCTATTGGCTACCGTGGGTTAATTGTCCGGCACAGACACACGCAAGACCCAAACTCTGACCTTAAATGGTTAACATCGTTTTAGAAAACAGGTTTTGTACTGGCTTCTGATGATTTCAAGATGTAGCTAGAGATAATATGCAGCGATAAGGGAAAGAAATAATTTGTGGTCTCACTTTCTGAGACTTGCTTTAAGAACAGTCAAAGTGAACAAACCAATTGTTGTCTGGGGCAATTGTAGTTGATCCAGAACCAGAACTTGATCCTGCCAAACACTGCTGGTACGCAGTTTGCTTACTGCTATCCCCTGCACCCGTGGCCTTGTAGATACCAAACGTTTGCCCAAGGTCGTCTCGAGAATCATAAAAACGGTAGCGAGTCGTGTCAGTGTTATCCGGAGGAGTTGCGCCTTGAGTCGAAACTATAAGATTGGTGATTGTGTTAGTTGTTCCGAAATTGTTATTAACTGCCATCCTATTACAGTTTGCAGCCGTGCCGTCGTTACGAATGAAACTCAGTTCTACGGAGGTGTAGTCAATGTCGGCACTGGGATCACGATAGGGTCGGCCATTTCGAGTTGTCCAGACATCACCACTACACTTGTACTCAATACACTGCCCCTTTACCGCTGCCCCAGGAGGCACTATATCATCCTCACGCCGGCCATAGTCAGTGCCCCGATTGGCTGCATGAGTGCCGACCCTACTAACGACACGGGCCCTCAAATTTTCCGAATTTGAACCAGTCACCCGCACTTTCATGAAACAACTTTTCTTTTGAGCTGGGTCTTCGGTTGGATACCAGGACAGATAGTCAGGTCGAAGCCTGTTGTCAGTGGGGTTATAAGGACGGGTGTTGATTTCGGATACTCCTGACGCCCGGCCCCCGTAAAATTTGTAGTGGTTATCTGTTATCGGCGCGCTATTACACGTTCCGATGTTACGGTAGGATGGCCCAGTAAAACTTCCCTGATTGAGGGTTGTACTAAACGCTTTTCCATTGTTTCCTATAACGTAACCACCGCGAGGACTGAATCCAAGCTCGACTTGCGTCGCTGCATCATACTCAGTTGTACCCTCAGTTGCAGAGACATAGGTCACAGTACCGGGCCGGCACCACCCTTCCACACATGCTCCTCCAGACCCTACAGCACTGGTCCTGGCAGTATAGAAACGAGCGAATCTTTCATTTCCCCGATCTAAGTCCGTGTTCACAACCACAAACTGCACATTTACATTATTGACCGGGGTCGTTGTGCCTCTGGCCTGACACACCCTGACCTTTGAGTAACATCTTTGACCAGCTTTTATCCACCAGTCGACATTATAATTTCGTCGAGTGACCCTTATACTTCCGTTCCAGGTAAAGCTACTCTGACGCTTCCTACGTTTGCTCGAAGGAGCTTGGGTAACCGTACTTTCTTCCTCCCATCGGCCTGTGTCGGGGTTTAGAGACCAGAGTTTTACCTCGTGACCTGGCTCAACAGCAGTGAAGTTCACTTCATTTTCATTCAAGAAAATGTCTACTGTACCTGCAAGTCCCAACTCATTTCCTGACCCATCCTCAAAGTCAAGACTGAACATACCAAAGGTCTCGAGTTGTTGCTCTTCACCTTCCTGATCTATAAAAGTAAAATCACTCTGCATGTCTTGAACATTACTAAGATTTCTGGGGTCTATGAAACTAAGGGATGCCTGCACAGTACCACTGTATGGTTGGCCAGCTGCTGTATAGAAACGGTTAGCTGGTATTTCTATCTGGCCGATGGGGGCTTTACCCGGTACAGTTCCTAGATCGATTGAACTAGTCATTTCTGACGACAAAACTATTGGTGGTGCTCTTTCCCGCATATGAACCTTGTGATAGACGGTCCCACCATCGACAAAGTCAAGGATTTTTGTTGTCTCAACAAACTCCTTGTAAATGTCTATAAATGTCACGGCTAGACGCTTTGTGTTTGGTGGTATTTCTAATGAAAATGTACCACTGAAAGTCGTGAAGTCACCATTGCTCACCCCGTTTACAAGGATATCAGCATTAACCACAGGTTTGTTAGTTGGACCTCCTAACAGTTCCCCTCTGACGTAAGTTACAGGATCCCCACATTCCAGACAGTCACATGATGAAATGACCATTATATTTATCGTATAACTCCCACAATTGATAGTCTGAGGCTGGAGAGTTCCACCCGAACTACAGTACTTAATTGTATCATTACATTGACCGCTATTGTAGCTGGGGCCTACACATGGCTTGTTGTCACACTTGCCTACTTGGTAAAGTCTGGTTCCATCAGGCTGGACACAGTCTGCTGGAAGCTGGAGGTACTCAGGAGATGGAGCGGCATCGTAGGAATCTCCAGCGCTTCCTATGGTGATGATATGGAAGTGTCTTGATATAAATCGCAAAAATAGTTTAAATAAACCTTTACTTTATCGTTTGAACAAGCAATGTTTGCTCTTCTTGAGACGCGTAGGTCAATTTAGCGCCATTGTTTTTACCTGTACTTTATACTAACCGTGTGTCGACTGCTGGTAACATGTACATAGACGTGCAAAACACGCGTGCGTCTCCCGATCCACTACTTGATATGCGTACTTAAGACGTTAACGTAGGTAGTTTCATTTGGAATTTAAAGCACTCCATACACATATTGATTGTAATTATATAAGTAGGCATTATAAATTTCTCTCGAAAGAAGATTAAGAAGGGCCCACCGTATATTTGCAGCTGTGCAGATCCCGAGTAGGCCGCTCCGGCTGCACTGTTAGCCCGGCACCTGTACTCCCCGGCGTCACTCAAGGCTAGGTTGGTCAGCGTGAGTTGGTTGGAATATCCGTACACGCTTTTGTCCAGAACAATGCCATCGCGAAACCTGCATGGAAAACGTAATAATTATAGCCGATATTATTAGAACTAGCAGAGCACGCGTGCGTCTGCGCGACGATGCAGAAACGCCGTATAGGCCAGACATTTAGGCAGCTGCTGAAAAACAGGTCACGGAACTGAGTGTGATCTACAGGTAAATAGAAAAAAAAACTAGAAAGGCAGACATTTGCTTTGGAGCAAAGTCATCATGGCTTCACCACATTTTACGACATGGCAGGAAAAGAAGGAGAATACAAGGGGAAACAATGTTTTACATCAATATAACTATAGTATGTAGTGACATATAACTTCAATACAACAGCAAAAATAGCAAAAAGTCCCATTTTACATAGTTTTTAAGTGACAAACGCCAAATACGTAGTTTATATTCTGTGGGCTTGTATCCAAGGATCTCCCATACCAAATTTCAGGTCATCTGGTTTTGATATCAGGGCACAGGAGGCAAAAATTTACATTTGTGGTCCGGAAATGGCAAAATAAAACTTTTTTGTTCAATTTTAAAGTGGTGCATGTCAAAAGCATGAATGAAAATGACAAAAAACAATAAAACAAACAAAACGCCTGTGGGTATTGGGCTACTGTACCTTCATGCCAAATGTCATGTCATTTGGTCCAAAAATGAAGAAATTGAATCCATTTAACAACATGGCAGAAGGAGAAGAAGAAGACGAAACGTGAGGAAAAGCAATATGATTTCACCACTTAGTGGTGAAGCCATAATAAAAATCAGCACTTCATGTCAATCTATTATTATTATTATTATCGTGTAATATGATGTCAAAATCGAGCATGCATTTATCAAATGGATTGATGGACTTTGTTCGTCTGGTGTACGGGACGGCAACATCTAGCTCCTCCGCATCTGTTCCTTACATCCCCTTTTCACCGGAAGCTGCGACCGTTGAGTGACAGTGACAAATCTCTCAATGAGTTGAACAAAAGAACAAAAATTTTTTCAAAAGGTTTTGAACGTTTCTTAATCATACCTTCACAGTTTGCATTATTTTTCAAATATAAGAAAAAAGATGACAGACATCCAAGGTCGGTCACTGAACGGTCGCTATGGATCGCCGTGACCTTTATATCAAGAACAAGAGCTCGTCATGTATAAGTTTGGGTTGTCAGAAATGTGCCACTGTATATAGTTTGACTTTTATTTTGCTGGTATGTTAACCAAAGCACGTGAGTGGCACCATACAGTGCGAGCACTGGTCCCTGAACTACGTAGAATAGACTAGAATAGCAGTGCCCACAAAATCGAATCTTCATGGTGCCATCTAACCTTACAAACATCTTTCCCTTTCCACCCACCTGGGACTGTTGCCATCTGTTTGAAAATATTCCACTATTTCACTACCTCACGTACCTTCACCTAGTATACATTTGAAGCTGCATGTCAATCCAAAAATGCCGCTGCAATACCTTAAAAAGCCACTAGAATGACCAAATTCTAATTTAACCTTGAGTTCCTTTTTCACGCTACAAGCTACCTTCCAAAAGCTTTTAAAAACACAATATCACAATTTATCCCGTCTAGTCACATTCCATCATGAAATGTCAACATGAGCTCCAAAAAGCAGCTATTTTGCTGAAAACCACACCAGATACTTAGTGGCCAAACAAACTATGTGCCACTCAAGAATCAAGACCATAGCATGTCCATAGCACGGGATATCATACCCATCTATCCCGCTTTACAAAACTGCTAGAGTACCCAAATTTGACCTAGACCTTCCAAGCTGATCCTACCTACCAAATATTATAATGTGCATCACACCCCAAGTTACAACCGATTACAAATTTAAATCAGCAACCCCTATGTATGGTGTACCTAAACTCATAATCTTCTGCTGAATTTTTCGAAGATAACAAGGGACTCACCATTCATAGTCCTCTGCCTTTGGTTGCGGAAAACCGTGCGCGTCGCAGCAGAAGGTGACATCTTGTCCCACTAGACGAGATCGACTTTCGGGGTCTTGCGTAATAATCGGAGCAACTAGAAAATAATTTGACACTTCATATAAGAGGTATGATTAATATCTCTAAAGCAAATTGTTTGAAACATAGTATTCTTTTTCTCTCTTTGTGTTACCTTTTTGCTTGTAAATTTAGCATTATTCAGTTTTTATTCCACCGAATTGACACTAGATGCCATTGATCAATTAGAAACTCTTATGAATACAATAAATATAGTTTCTAACTTTTAATATAAAAGGAACTCACTCAGTATCTGCATGTTTGCAGTCACAGTCGATGTAGTTGACGTTGTAGTAACAGTTGTAGCCACTGTCGGTGAGTACCCGTCTTTCGTTATGAGCAGATCTACCGGAGGGCTGGCGCAAACACCAGTTACGCTTGCCGAGCCTGTGGCGTCAGTCGTGCCAAGGTTGATGTAAGGTCTGTCTACGTAGTGGATGGTGGCCCCCTCTAGAGGAGCGTTTTTAGTGTTTCGCACTGTGGCAGTGAGTACGTGTGTTTGACAACCACACTCACAGGTCACCGGGTCCCTGGTTCCGACCACACAGGCTGCCGTACAATCTGTAGTTGTGAAAATATATCATTGGTCAATAGAATTATCATGATTGTCTAAAGTGTAGGGATGGTGTGACTAATCTTTATTGATTTGCACTTTAAAATGAATGGTGGGTAGAATAACAGGGTAACTTTTTTTTATCAAATCTGATCTTTAAGGTAGTTTATATTTTAAAAAGTACCTGGACACGCCCATGTAGAACACTGTCTGGACTGCTCCTGACTACCTACACAGGCATTTCCACCATTCGCTGGGGCAGGATTGTTGCACGCTCTCTGCCTGGCCTGTGTCCCTCCGCCACAGGACTGGCTGCATGTAGACCATGTCATCCACGTGGACCACATGCCGTCAACTGAAACTGTTTAAATGTAACGGGAGAGTTGTCATCATGTTTGCTACTTCTTCATCCCAGAATAAACAGCATATTTTTTTAAGTTCACCCATATACATCGGTAAAAGTATCTAGTAATTATGAATTATTCATGAAAAAATGTAGGTATTGTTTTCGGCATATCTGTGTGTCTGTGTGTGTGTTTTCGCAGCTTTGTGGTTAGCATAACGCCTTTATGGATTGTGAGGATATTTGGTATGTTGGTAAATCTTAGGAACATGGGCCTCCTGGTGGCTGACCTTGGTACTGCAGCAGAACTTCCGGTTTTTGTATCTTTTGTTCTAAACATGCTATGGGCTTGAATTTTTGGTGACAGATAGCTTTTTCTATCAGCTATAAATGGTGTGGGTTTGGTCCTAGCAGCTTGTTCTGGAAATGCAGGGGACTTTCTGGCGAAATCTCTTAATGCGGATAAGCCCAGGTACGAACGACGTCTTTTCATCATTTTTGGTATATACGTAGCTGAGACACACTACCAAAATTTTTTTTTCTAATTTTTCTTATTTTCTTGTGTTGAGAAATATTTTCTTGCCAGGGGGATTTTCAAGAAAATTCATGAAACATTCTGTATTTTGTATGTTGATTCTTACATAAAGAATTTCATTCTTCTTTTTTCTTAAGAAAAGAAAATATTTCTACTATCATGCTCAACAACAAGAATCTTAAAGAATTTTTAGAATTTTAAGAAAGATTACAGTATTTTTTTTCTGCTACAAGAAATCTTTTCTTGTGCACAGAATGGTTTTCTTGCTTCAAGAACAGTAAGCTTTTAGTTCAAGAAATATTTTCTTGTGGACAGAATAGTTTACTTTCTACAGCAAAAAATTCAAGAAACACATGCGTTTCTTGAATTTTCTTGCTACGGGGATTCTTTAATTTCTTGTTCAAAGAAAAATTTTCTTCTTACAAGATACCATTTCTTTGTACAAGGAAAACAAGTAAAACAAGAAAAAAGCATTTTTGGTAGTGCAGAGCTTTACATTATTAGATGCAAAATTATGCAAAAAAGACTAATTTGCATTAATTAAGGAGGAAATTCTATATTATAGGTCTTGGACCGGAGTTTCTTTCCACATTTGTAGCAATTTGACACCCTCAGCCCGACGGGCTGTCATTTCTGTAATAAGCCCAGGTCGGAATTTTTCACTCTTCTGGTTGAAAGGGGTGCTGTGCCGCCTATCAATACACTTCATTGATATTTTTTGCACTCAATTTATTTAGGGGTGAATAAGGCCTACATTTTTAAGTAAGGGGCCCCTTTTTTGCGTCTTTTTTTGAAATGGAAAAAAAAAAGAATTTTCCCAGGGTAACGGCTTCGTACTCAAAAAAAGCTCAATACCTAATGTTTCAGAAATCTAAATTTAATTAGAATCGATGCGATACGTTTACCGCTATCTTCGATGATCCAAACACACCCACAACGCATATAGAACGCACCATCCCGGGGATCAGACGAAAATTTCACATAACCGTCCGCGCAGACTAATACCAGGAAGTCTTCACTGGACCCCCAACATTACGCCACGTATAAAGGCTACAACTAACAGGCTTTTCAGAAAATATTGTTACCTTCGCCAAGAAGGTTATGTTTTCAGTAGCGTTTGTCTGTGTGTGGGTGTGTTTGTGTGTGTGTGTGTGTGTGTGTGTGTGTGTGTGTGTGGTTTAGCAAGATAACTCCAGAAGCAGTGGATGGATTGGAATGAAACTTAGTAGGTGGGTAGGTCTTCATGAGACCTAGAAATGATTAGATTTTGGGCCCCCTGGCGGCTTTCCTAGGTACTGCCGCAGAACTTCCGGTTTTGATATCTCGTGATCTGGACATGCTAGGGTCACGAATTTTGGATGGCAGATAGCTCTTGGGATAGGGAAGAAGTGACATGAGTTTGGGTCCCCTAGCGGCTTGTTCTGGAATTGCAGGAGCATTTGTTGAAAATTTTTCGAAGGAGAATAATTCAAGAACCGGTTGACGGATTGTCGTGATTTTTGGTATGTAGGTAGTTGGAGTGATGCTTGACATGATCAGTTGACAATTATGCAAATCAGGAGCTAATTTGCATAATTAATGAGGAAATTTTATCAATCTGCTTTGTTCGATAATGAACTATGAAACACTTGTGACATCACTTGTGAGAATAAGAAAAAAAAATCTGAGGATATAGATTATGTAAATGAGGACCTAATTTGCATAATAAATGGCAGATTTTTATAATTTCATAGTTGTAACTGCTGGGAATTTCATACTTGCCACATTTGGAAGTTAAGTGAAGGTGATCTTTAACAAACATAATTTATTCAAATCATGGCCTCATTTGCATAATTTATGAGGAAGTGCTATAATAGCATTTTTGTTAAGATAAGGCTGTCATTGGGTGGAGAATATGATCAACTGATATAATCCATGCAAATGGGGCTCTTAGGCCACACCAATTCAATTTGTTGGTTCTCGGATTTTTTCAGAAAAAATATGAAGCGACAGGGCGAAAAAAAAAACAGGTCTAGGCATCCTATTATAGGCTTAAATGCTATGGAATGAGCCATGAAGTCAACACAAAAGGCTGGGTTAAAATTTAAACATTGAATTTTGAACTTTTAATCAAACCACTGCAATGATAGATGGGAAAACTGTAACAACTAGGAAGAAAAGGACTTTCCTCAACTGTTGGGGGCAAAACATTAGCATTTTTCAGTTGATTCAGGACCAGAATCAAATTTTTCTTTTTGCAAATCAGAAAAAAACGAAGAGGCGAATCCGAGAACCAACAAATTAAATTGGTGTGGCCTTATTTACAAAATCAATGATTAAAATTGTATAATTTGTCAACCACAAGGGTTAACATCATTTGGCGAAGGTATGAGATCGTGGAACTCTTGTTTTGAATGTACGACACTGATTGATTAAATGTACTACTTAAGACATTAAAGTTGCTAGAATCTTGTGTGAATTTTTATTTGAAGTATGAAAATCCAGCACTGAACCCATGGTACATTAATTATAAAGCAATGCGATTTGTTTATATGTCCGGACGTAAGGTAAATTAACTTGAACACTACATTCATCTCCAGCTTGAATCTAAATTTCAAAAATCAACTTTTTTAATTCATGAAAAGCTGCATTATTCAATCAGAAAGGCCTTTAAAGAGCAATGTAAACTTACAATTATGGTAAAATTTTTCCAATGCCCCCACAAAAATACGACTTACCTGGACAAGGCACCCCCGTGTCACACGCTTGTGTCTCCTCAGCCAGTCCATCACAACCCACCCCACCGTTAGCTGGTGCCGGATTGGTGCACGTTCGGTCCCGAGTCTGTGTACCACTTTCACACGTCACGCTACAGCCGGACCACGGGCCCCAGACGGACCAGCCGCCATCAATCACTTCCCCTAAGAGATACAGGTAAAAACACTGAAACTACACTTCTTACATTACAGAGAGTATGGATCTAGACAAACGGGCTTCAAATGACATGTAATTATGGTTTGTGCCTCTTATGTACCATTTTAGAAGCTTATCCAAAAATATCTTGTAAACTACATGAATCAACCACGTCTCATTACTTAAGTTAAGGGGTTTTGTCCATTTTGTGGACAATCTGTTTGGTTTGTTTTTGTTACATTTTTGCATACTTACAGCTGAACCTAGCCATTTTACTCTAAAATTCATCTTTTGTCAGCTGGGTTACATGATACTCGTTGAAGCTGTTTTGTTTATAATTTGTTTCTTCGGTCTTGTTCACATCATACAGCATCGATGATGCACGGTGATGTAGTATTGTGCACAGATATCCTTTTAGTACTACAGGTGGACTTTAGATTTGTAACATTAAGCACTAAAACATAGCCAGATATAAGGGCTCACGATTGCGGATTAGTGTGTTCATGTCGTAGTATTCTTTGATTTTAATTGATACGAGATAAAGAGGATTACTTTAAAATCTGAGAAAATGATCTAGTAGATACCTGTAGCAGACCCCGTTACAATTTACATAGCCTACTAATCGATACTTTCTCAAAGAATAATGTGAGTGATGAACTGATGAAAATGCATTTAATACTTCCAAGCAAATTACAAAACTAAGAATCAGTTGTCACAAATTACGAATCGAATCAGAAAGACATAACCGCACTCCTCTAGAACAAAGAACCTGTCAATTCTGTAGTTTAGGCCAAATAGAAGATGAAATACATTTCACCATAGATTGCCCCTTGTATAGTAGAGATAGACTCATATTTTTTAGCCATGTATTAAGTATATTTCCCCACTTCAGATATTTGACTAGTAAAGAGAAATTTGTATTCCTTTTAACTTTTGATAAACCTACTCTAAGTAATCTCACAGCCGCATATATTCATACAATCACTACTAAGCGAGATGAAGCCGAAAATAATAGAAATTAGACATTTATTTAGTATATGTTCATATGTATGTAATGTATATATGTTTATGTTCATGTTCTGTACCCATGCGACCTGTACTTAGTTCTCTAGAACACAAATGTACAATAAAGGTCTTCATTCAATATAACATATTAGGCTGTATATTTTCATCAGCTTTGTGCAAAAGTCATTTTAATCTACTTACGTTATGTCAATCTAAGGAATCATATTAATCTTTGCTACATAAAGAACAACTCAGAGAATACAATTGCCACTACGTGTTACTAAGGTGTCGTTGGACCATCATTTGTTAAATCATCTTCAGAATTATTGTTACAACAGCATAACTTTGAGTTACCTGGACAGGACACCTCCGTGTCACATGCTTGTGTCTCCTGAGCCAGTCCATCACAACCCGCCCCACCGTTAGCTGGTGCCGGATTGGTGCACGTTCGGTCCCGAGTCTGTGTACCACTTTCACACGTCACGCTACAGACGGACCACGTGCTCCAGTCGGACCAGCCGCCATCAACTACACGAAAAACAGATTTTAATTTTGAGTCTCGATCAAGCGTTGTGCAAGCAAGCAAGATGTAACTTTTTAAAATGACTACAAAAATGAGTATTAAGGTTTATATTATAAACCACTGGACCAGCTAGAAGTGCTAGCAACTGCTTTGTTTACAATTACGGCTGTACTATTGTTTCTTGCTGGAAGGATTTGATTACTTGAAATTCGAGTATACAGAACTTATTTGATTTTGAATGTAGTTGTTTATTTGGTGTAGATTGCTTATTTCCCGAATTGACAAAGGATACCCCAGAGACACATACATGTACAGGTACAACAATATAAAACGAAAAGTCATCTAGACAGAGACTGTTGGAAATAATGAAACAACAATGAAATAGAGAAGTACCTGGACAAGGCATCCCCGTGTCACACGCTTGTGTCTCCTGAGCCAGTCCATCACAGTCCGCCCCACCGTTAGCTGGTGCCGGATTGGTGCACGTTCGGTCCCGAGTCTGTGTACCACTTTCACACGTCACGCTACAGCCGGACCACGGGCCCCAGTCGGACCAGCCGCCATCAATCACTTCCCCTTATTAGAGATACAGGTAAAAACACTGAAACTACACTTCTTACATTACAAAGAGTATGGATCTAGACAAACGGGCTAGAATGTTGCTATGGTTTGTGCCTCTTATGTACCGTTTTAGAAGCTTATCCCAAAGAAAGAGTATCTTCTAACTACATGAATCAACACGCCATTCGCCACCTATCTAAGGTTTACATTTACATCATTATCTCGCTGACACATCTTATTACTAAAATATTTCGTCCATTTTCTGGCCATTCTGTTTGGTTTGTTTTGGTTTAATTTGCATACTTGCGGACGAACATAGCCATTTTACTCTGAAATCCATCTTTTGTCAGTTGGGTTACATGTACATGACACTCGTTGAAGCTGTTTGGTTTACAATTTGTTTCTTCGGTCTTGGTCAGATCATACAGCATCGATGATGCACGGTAATGTAGTATTGTGCACAGATATCCTTTTAGTACTACAGTTGGAGTTTAGATTTGTATTATTAAGAACTAAAACATAGCCAGATATGAGGGCTCACGATTGCAGATTAGTGTCTTTATGCCTTAGTATCCTTTGATTTTAATTGATTCGGGATAAAAAGGGTTACTTTAAAATCTGAGAAAATGATTTAGTACATCCCTGTAGTAGGCCCCGTTCCAATTTACATAGCCTGCTAATCGATAATTCCTCAAAGAAAATGGGAGTGATGAACTGATGAAAATGCATTTAATAGATATTTCCCAGCGAAATTTTGTCAATATAACATGTTAAGCTGTATTTTTCATCAGCTTTGTGCAAAAGTCATTCTAATCTACTTACGTTATACCAATCTAAGGAATCATATTAATCTTTGCTACATAAAGAACAACTCTGAGAATACAATTGCCACCACGTGTTACTAAGGTGTCGTTGGGCAATCATTTGTTAAATCATCTTCAGAATTATTGTTACAACAGTATGGCTTTGAGTTACCTGGACAGGACACCTCCGTGTCACATGCTTGTGTCTCCTCAGCCAGTCCATCACAATCCGCCCCACCGTTAGCTGGTGCCGGATTGGTGCACGTTCGGTCCCGAGTCTGTGTACCACTTTCACACGTCACGCTACAGCCGGACCACGGGCCCCAGTCGGACCAGCCGCCATCAATCACTTCCCCTTATTAGAGATACAGGTAAAACACTGAAACTACATTTTTACATTACAAAGAGTATGGGTTTAGGCAAAATGTAATTATAGTCTGTGTTTCTTATTTACCGTTTACCCAAAAGAAAATTATCTTGTTAACAACACGTCATGCTACAGCCAGACCACGTACTCCAGTCGGTCCAGCCGCCGTTAATGACTTTCCATTATCAGAGGTGCAGATTAAACATAAATTCTTCAAAACACGAGAAAACTAACTACACGAACTGAGGAAGAGACATGCGTAGATGATATCTTGGCTTACCAAAGTTTACACTATTTTGCTGCCAACAGATCTTTATTAAATGATTCCATCCATGCATGTTGTGGCAATAGTTTTTTTGTTTCCTTAAATTCCCTAACTAACTCTTGAACCTAATGAATTTTCTCTAAAATGCACCTTTTTTGCATTTAACATCCGATGGGTAATAAACGCAATTCAGTTGTTTGGCTTGTGCTTTTTTTCATCACTTTTGGTCATTTTATACAGCAGCACTGAAAACCGAAGATGCTTGGCAATGTAGCGTTGTACAAATACCAACAATGTACACACATAGATATAGACACAGCAGCCAGAAAATGTCACGTAAAATCGATAATAAAGGAGCAGCAAAATCATACTTTCACATTCCAGATGTCGTCTCTTGGGAACCCATTTGCCGTTCCGGCACAGCTTCTTGGCAAAACCTCCAGTCTTCACGTATCCATCTGGGCATGTGAAGGTACAAATGCGGCCGGCTGGGTAGGTTGTTTGTTCAGCACAGTTGCTAGGATAACCGTCAGGGTGGGTGGGTGGGCTTCTACATGGGTTGCCTAAGCAAGTGCAAGATAAAGGATGATGAAGCGCCATTATCATATGACCATTTCTTACATCAAGTGGTAGTTGAAAACTGAATACCAAGAAGCAACTTGACTGTATTGTAAGACGAACAAAGATATAAATGGAAGAATGAAAAGAAAAAATTGCATCGAAACCTATAGCTACTATAGAGGGAAACCATGAAGATATCTTAAGATTAGGTGAAATTACTGAAATATATATTTTTTCTACTTAAACACATATGAGAAGTGCTTTTTACTGACACAAGTTCAAGGACATTTTAATGTGTTATTAGAAAAATACCGAAATTCGTGATTAGCCCCACTCGATTGTAACACTTTAACAAAAACTTGTGCTAGCCCTTGTCTGAGTAATTACGATATGTTAGGTTTTATTCTACATTAGGTCTTATTCAACACTTTTTATTGCCTGTTTTTTTGCACCTTGCCATACATTATACCATGTGCAATTGTCGTGCATTAAAGTTCTTCTGTAATGTCTTCGGTATCAATACAATCCTTTTGACCAAGCAATCACAAGGTAAGTGTGCAAATCAATAGATGAGGTTTATCTAAAGCTTATACTACAGTTTTTGGATTGTAATTTATCACATCTTAATAGAAACGCTGGAAATGCAACTCACATTTGCACCGCAGACCGCGCCCTCCTTTCCACGGGCGAGGCCCGCCCCTGCATACCCTAAATTTCCCACAGATGTCCTTAGCACATCCTTGGTTACAATGAAGGGTGCAGATAGTGTTTTTAGGGTACCTCCCCGCAGAGTTCAGGCGCTTGTTGCATGATGCTCTTCCGTTTCTCAACGTCAGAGGCTCACACGAGACTGAAAGGAAAACAAGTTTCTCCTCTTAATAAAAATCGATGAATATTTACGCATTTCATTTCCTTTTAATATGTAATGTAGTTGGTAAACACCAAAATATGCAGGTATTGCCTGACCTAAAAGTCTCCATTGCAGAATCAAAAATGCAGATGCATGCAGCAAAATTCTAGAATTTTCATCATCAAATCATCATCAAATCATCATCATCAAAACAATAATGCATATACCTTGGCCATGAACTGGAGACACATAGACCATCAGTCCGAGAAGAACTATGATGAAGCAGATGATGGCCCTAAACAAAGATAAAAGATTTAGATTCAAACTTGATTTGACAATGTGTATGCGCGTTCGAGCGTTTGTTTGACTTAATGTGTGTGTGTCTGCACGTGTAGAGCTAGATAGAGGCTATCGGAATTGATTACAATAATCCAATTTGATTCTTATATAGATGTAATTTTTTAAGCCACCCGCATTGTGTTTGTAATTGTTGCGTACATGGAAGGAAATGCGTTTTGTGTCTGCGTGCCTGCTCGTGTTTCCACATAGAGCTGGTCAGCATAATTCAAGAGCCTATTTGAATCATCCCGCATTAATGAGAAGCTCAAATCGGCCTGCAGGCGTCGTAACGTTTGGGGTCATGAGGAAAAAGGGATATATTTCAGAAAGATAAAGTTCACATCATCAAGCCTTATAGACGAATATGATAATTACCCTCGCCGAGAAGGTTATGTTTTCAGGGGCGTTCGTGTCTCTCTCTCTCTCTCTGTGTGTGTGTGTGTGTATGTGTGTGAGCACGATAACTCCAGAACGCCTGGATGGATTGTCTTTATATTTGGTAGATGGGTAGGTCTTGATAAGACCTGAAACTGATTGGATTTTGGGCCCCCTGGCGGCTTGTCATGGTACTGCAGCAGAACTTCCGGATTTGATATCTCATGATCCAGGCATGCTTGGTATAAAGCTGTTGTGTTGGAGATGAAGTGACATGAGTTTGAGCCCCCTAGCTGCTTGCTCTGGAACTGCAGGGGGGCTTGACCAACACACCTACATCTCTGGATCAACACACGTACTTTCGGTGCGCACACACGTACTTTGGGTGCGCACACACGTACACGTACTTTGTATAAGCACACACCTACTTTGTGTACGCACACACCTACTTTGTATACGCACACACCTACTTTGTGTACGCACACACCAGGGGGGGGGGTGATGCTATCCCATCATCCTTTGCAATACACGTGTCCCAGATGGCTGACTGTCAGCACCAGGCATATAGTCTTGTCATGTTTCCTTTAAAAGTGCAGCAATGGCAACAATTTGACGAGTAATTTTTGGTTCTTTGAATTATCAAAGGACTCAAGTAGTGTATGAGGCTATCTGACTTTTGTAACTTATGTACAACTTCTTACATTGTGTCTTAAACATTTATGCAAACATTTGCTTCAAAAATGGTGCTCAAACTTCACCAAACTAAAGTGCTTTTCTACAAACTCTGTTGATTGGTGATAATATACATCTTGTGCATCAGAAAACCCCAAATGCACCAAAAAGCACCCATGGGAAACGGAAGAAAATTGCATTTGTTGATGATTATTACATAAATAATATCAAATATAATATTTTCTTCTGTTTCCCATGGGTGCTTTTTGGTGCATTTGGGGTTTTTTGATGCACAAGATGTATAATATCACCAATCAACAGAGTTTGTAGAAAAGCACTTTCGTTTGGTGAAGTTTGAGCACCATTTTTGAAGCAAATGTTTGCATAAATGTTTAAGACACAATGTAAGAAGTTGTACATAAGTTACAAAAGTCAGATAACCTCATACACTACTTGAGTCCTTTGATAATTCAAAGAACCAAAAATTACTCGTCAAATTGTTGCCATTGCTGCACTTTTAAACGAAACATGACAGGACTATATGCCTGGTGCTGACAGTCAGCCATCTGGGACACGTGTTGTGGGATGTGTATTGCAAAGGATGATGGGATAGTATCATTCCCCCCCCCCCCTGCGCACACACCTACTTTGTGTACGCACACACCTACTTTGTATACGCTAACAACTACTTTTTGTACGCTAACAACTACTTTTTGTACGCACACACCTACTTTAGGTGCGCGCACACATACTTTGGGTTTGTCAACACTCCTACTTTGGGTACGTCAACACACCTACTTTGGGTGCGTCAACAAGGCCAATTAACACCGCGAATTGATGACACTGCACTACGTTTCCAATGTATGACTACTGCACTGTCGAATTGTTTTGACAGCCAACTTAAAACATCACAAATTGCTCCTTTCTCGTGAAACTAAGATCACATCGAAAAAAAACCGTATTTACTGTATATTGCTTATTGTACAGGTCATTCTGGTCATTGGAATATTCAGGTCTAACCAGCATTATAATATTTAAGCATAGCCCACGGGTCTGTAGATCTCCGGTTAACACGTAAGAATGCCACAGGGATGTCACCTGCAGAAAGATATATTATTATATGTTGTGCCATCTCCAGTCGCCTAATCTGTCGGAAACAGATCACGTCCTTTCAAACATGTACGTGCAGGATGAAAACATGCGTTTCTATTCTGTGAAAGAGCGGCAAAATACTTAAGTTTGACTGTGGACTTTTGGATATTTTTCGGCTAGTTAAGATATCCTTTCAAAATGGCTGGTGGTTTGCTATTGAAGAGAATCATTTTTTTTTTCGTTTCAAGTGCGATATTTCGTATCCAGACATGACCATTTGATGTTTAAAAATCATGTCATTTACTACTTGGTTGGTCAGTTTTAAATTAACATATTATGGCTACACTAAAAACAATACCACTCAATTGCACAGACTTTGCTCTAAAATATAATATCTAATTAAGATTCAATGGCTACACAACGATAGTAAAAAAAATGAACACTATAGATCAAAATTACGTCTGATTTATGTGTCATACACTTTTGTATCAGTATCGGTATAGCCTGTATAACCGCCATTCGGCGTAACACACCAGCTTCGCAGACACGCGGCGCGGCGGCAACGACGTGTTCAACCTAACCCTTGAACATCTATCTCTAAACATTGTTTAAAGCTATCTAATAATAATGTCCTTACTGTACTTGGTGACACTCTGCGATAGTTCAGGGAAAGAATAAATTTTTGAACACCTCAATCCTTGGTTGATAACTGTTACAGTGGTACTTGAAGGAATCGCTATTTCTTGTTCTCTTCTGGGCTGGTATTGGGTACTTAGTAGTTGGTACGTCCACCAATTTATTAGTCATTTTGTAAAGTATGCATAATCTGGACATTTTTCTTCTGTCTTCCAGTGACACCCACTGTAGGTTTCTTTTTATGTCCGTGACACTAGCACCGCTTTCATAGTTCATATAGAAACTTGCAGCTTGATTCTGTACCCTTTCCAGTTTGTCTTTTCTCTTTCTTTGTATATGGATCCCATACTGTCGCGGTATATTTTCGGTTCGGTCTTACAAGTGACGTGTATGCAAGTAATTTTATAATCTTAGATTCCATAATATTCCAGTTTAGAGATGAGCATGCCACGGGGAACTTTGTCAAAAGCTTTAGTCAAATCGAGGATTGCTAAATCTACCTGCCTTTTACTGCTCAGTGCGCCAGCTATATCATGGACTGTTGTTATAAGCTGTGTTTCTGTGGATCGCTTGTATAAGCAAGTATAGCCTTAGTATAGGCTGTGTTTCTGTGGTCAACTTGTCACATTTCTTGAAGTGACGTGTTCTGTAGAGAATCCCACATTGGGAATCATCCGACGTATACCAGCGTGCCTGCGGTTGCAATTCTGGTATCAAGACATAGATTTGCACCTTCGAGGAAAATATTGCAGGAACCGGGGTCGTCATAAAAAACATTATTGAAGGTTTTTGGGGAAAACATATAAAAATTAATCCGGATAAAAGTCCCCGATGGATATTTTTTCTCCCCAAATTGAAGCTAAACCAATAGACAGCACCTTCAAGGCGGGCCAGGCCAGGTTTTTATCGTCAAGCAATGTGAGACTGGAAAAAATTATCTAATGAAAACAGCAGCTAACTAGAATTCCACGATCTCATTCCTTCGTCAAATGATGCTAACCTTTATGAATGAAAAATTTAAGATCATCCCCCCTGATAATGCAAATAGGATTTGCATGAATTATATCAGTTGATCATGTTCTCCATTCAAAGAGAGTCTTATCTTAACAAAAAGAACATTCTAGCATTTTCTCATAAATCATGCAAATAAGGTCCGTATTTGAATAAGTTACGTTTTGATGTTCACATTGACTTAACTTTCAAGTATCCTAAGTATGAACTTACAGGCATTTACCAGTATAGAATTGTAACATTTTCTCATTAATAATACAAACTAAGTCTTCATATACATAATCAATATCTGCCTAAACTCGTATTTCTCTCGTTCCCAATTACATATGCAACGAGCTTGAATTGTCCTTATTGAATAGTCCTCATTAATTTTTTAAATTACGTTCAGATTTGCATCGTTGTCATTTAATGACGTCAAGCATTACCTACATATTGAAAATGACGACGATCTATCAAAGCTAGGGTTCTTGAATTACCCTTCTTTAAATATTTTCAACAAACGCCCTTGCACTTCAAGAGTAAGGTACTTGGGGGCTCAATTTCACGTCACGTATTCAAAATCAAGAACTACCTATGATCCAAATTCCGTAACCCTAGCTTGTCTCAATAAGATATCAAACAGTATATTCAACAGTATCCAAACAAAAAGTAAAAAAAATCAGGTTTGACATCATTTCATGCAGATGTAATGATGTATGTGACCTCATGTATGACCTCAAAAGGTCGGTCTGAGCGTGTTCGTTATTACACAATATTATTTCATTTCAGGTCCTTTTGTCAAAGCTTCTAAAATCACCAGCTTTGAGGCAAAAGTTCGGCCGCTAGGTGGTTAGATTGCAGCAAATAGTGGGAAAACTTGGGAGTTAGACGGAGAGCGTAAAGAGGCAAAAAGTTCGGGCGGGCAAAGCCAGGTTTTTGTCGTCAAGCAGTGTGACCCAAGCTTGTCTCGATAAGATATCAAAACCGAAAGTACCTATGCAGTACCATAAAAAGCCGCCAGGGGGGCCAAAATCTAACAAACTCGAGGTCTTATCAAGACCTACCAACCTACCAAATATCACAATTCATTTAAGCCTTCCCAAGTCAAAAGTTCATAGTTCAACAGTGTCCCAACAAAAAGTGACAAAACAGGTTTGGTACCATTTCATGCAGATGTAATGATGTATGTGACCTCACGTATGACCTTAAAAGGTCGGTCTGGGCGTGTTCGTTATCACGCCATATTACTTCATTTCAGGTCTTTTTGTCCAAGCTTCTAAAATCACCAGCTTTGACGCAAAAGTTCGGCCGCTAGGTGGTTACTTTGCAGGATAAAGTGAGGAAACTTGGGAGTTTAACGGATGTATGTGCAGTTGGGACTGGGACGTCCTCACGCCCCCCCCCCAACACACACACCCATTAGGCAGGTCGGGAGGGGTGCAGAACAAATACCGATTAAAATACCCCTGCCGTGTGCTCTAAATCCAACCTATTCGTAGTCGCCGCTGGGAATTTTCTTTCAGTATTTAGCCTCCCCACCCATCACGTGGAAACAAATTTGGTTAAAACTCCCTCTTGTTATTTAAAATAAAAAAAAAAAGCATCAGTGCTTGTAATGTCCCCCTTTTTACTTGTCACAGTTCCTAATGGAACATGTGTTCTGTACAAAATATCACAATGTGAATCAGACAGCCGACAGCGGTAGTAACCCTCTTATCAAGAAAAGACCATAGTTTTTACCCTCGCGGGAAATATTGCAGGAACCGGGGTCACAAAGCCTGGTATTGTTATGTTCAGGGCTTAACATCTTAAAAGATTAATCCAGATAAAAGTCCCCGATGGATATCCACATGTTTGGTACCAAATGGAAGCTATAGAATAAATAGTTTGGCTACAGTTAATAAAAAAAGTGTATCCCTCCCCCTTTCCGAAGTTGTCGAGTCAAACGTGCAAATAATTGAAAACCTAGGCAATAATATTCAATACATGCAAATCTACGGGACGCAGTAAAACATTATCAAAAACGTTCGTAACAACATTGAAATATCCTCAGGTCGTACATACCTCATTTTGTAATTCTCGTTGGAGCCACTGAAGTTCCGAACCACCCCAGACGGGGTCTTCAGTGGTAAATGCAGTTACATCATTTGTACGTGTGCATAAATTAGGGTGTGGAAGAATAGCCTCCTTTTTAGGATATTGTGTCGTTAGCATTTTGTTGCCTACGCACTGTTTAATGATCGCTATCCTAGTCTGAAGGCTGCAGATATTACGAAAGCAGTGGCAAACAAACACGCCAGTAACCAGAAAACAGTGTGGAAATAAATAAAAAGGATATCCAAATGCGGCTCAAAGCCTGATTTGGAGGCTATGAAAGAGAGTATGCTCCATGGGCCATTTCCCCTGCGGCCGTATAGAGATTTCTCCAGACATGAGTTTTCGATGACCACAGTTTGGGCGAAATAGACACTGTGAGCTAGCATAAATTTTGAAATAGAACTATATTTCATAGAGGGGTAAATGAAAATCAACGCTTTCCTCTTGTATTGTGAGGCAACTTCAGAGCTGGATGAGTCGAAAACAGTTTGTTTGCTGTTAAGCCAAGTGTGCGTGATCTGAAAGTTTCCAGCGATGCGAGTCGCTGGCGGCCTTATCAAATCATTCTCTGCCGCCCTGCAATCACTTGTTTCTTAATGTATAACTCAGAACACCGGCAGAGAAAAGGACGACACATCGTCTTCATCACGACAATTAACCGTACATAGAGAGAACATAAGGAAACCATAGTGACTGTTGTTGCAAGGGTCATCAGCAGTATATGCAGTTGAAGTATGTACGTCGCTCTTTCACTAATTTGGGTGTGGAACACTCGTCTTCGTTGTTGGCATTCTTGGTTAGGGTGTGAAATATTTTCGTTGCAACCTGTTATACCCTAATTCCACTCAGCGGCGCTCTCGCCGCGCTCTCTCTGCGACCTAAAATTAGCCAGAGTGCGAAACTTCACGAAAGACTTGCTCAAGTGGATTCTCTCCGGAAACCTTCCTGCGCCCTCTGCGCGACCTAAATCTCAACGGTCAGCAACGTTTTCGGGCGACCAACGATTTCAGAGCTCACTCAACGAATTAAGGAAATGGTGAAAGACATTTTGTACATCTTGTTTGTTTTAATGTTTTTAAAGTCATTCTTGTACATCCTGCATTATATCAAAATCATGCAATCAATGGTGTAAGGCCCCCATTCCCATATGACGGCGCTCTCACTGCGCTCCCTTTGCGACCTGAAATTGTCCGGAACGCGGAGAAAGCGCCAAGGTCAGTACTGTTGAGAACTTTGTGCGCGTTACTAGTATCTCCGCGCGTTCTCATGGCGTACTCACGGTGCTCATTGTTACCTCGCTCTCCATGGTACTCTCACGGCGACGGTATGCGCATATGAGTCAATTCAAAATAGTCGCCGAGGTGACGGCGCTCATGGAGCTCATGGCGCACTCAGTGCGCTCCCAGTGCGCTCGCATGGCGAACTTGGCGGTGTATTGGCGCTCTCTTTGCGCTCTGGCCAATTTCAGGTCGCAGAGAGAGCGCCGGTGTCTTAGGAGAATGGGGGCCTCAGCATTTTTGTTGCCTACACGCGCGCGCAAGCCCTGGACATGTACACGCAGCTGAAACATGTTGCAATAGACAAAGCTAGAGGTCTGTACGGTATAGCACCTAGACTGAAAAAGATGTTGACTGCGAACTTTCTGAGCCACTCAAGGCTTTTCTAAATACGTTCTGGGTTCTAATTCAAGACAGTCCCAGGTGTTGTTCCCCTGGGGAAGTCACTAGTATTGTACACCTTATTCCTTACTTGACTATCTACTTTCGGTTAGGGACTTCTTCTATTATAAAATGTAAAGGTAGAAGTGGAGGTCAAGTGTTTGAGGAGAGCCACACATTGAGAACACTTTTCAAAGAGAGTGGGGGCCTTTCCCTGTGAGAGTGGACTAAACCTTACAGTCTGGTCTCATAAGTGATATTTGAAAAAAAAGTTATACCCACCTGTCGTGACAATTTTTCAAAAATGTGGTAGGTTTGATAGATAAACAAATGAACATGGTACTGTTGCCTTTAATGAAGATAAAGCTAATGCTTGTCCGTCGTGAATTAGTCTCCCAAATGATGGCAAATCAAATTAAAAATTTCGCATTTCAACAGTGCTTCACCATGAGAGAGCAGTTTTAAAAACATCATTTCATGCAGAAGTAATTGTCTGTGACCTAATGTGTAGCTTCCCGCGCCATTTCTAGGCGTGTTCATTATGACTCATACTGTTTTAATGTGCCGGAATTCATTTTAGGTGTTTCTGTCTAGTCCAAGCTTCCATTCTAAAATTAACAACGTTAACGAAAGTGATTTGCATATCACGTCAAACTACAGAATTAAACATATCCCGTAATCACCCCCACTACACCCTCAACCACGCTGGCTGCTATAGAAGCCAAGTGGGTTGAAACTTAATTCGTCGATCTGCTTTATATTTGCTAAACAACAAGGCGCCATGAATTTATAAGCCACGGGGGGGCACAATATCTAACAATTTCGAGGTCTTAAAAGTTTTTAACAAACGCTCTTGCCCTTCAAGAGCATGGTACTTGGGGGCTCAATATCACGTCACTTACTAGTATTTAAATGCAAGAGCTACGTATGATCCAAATGTCGTGACCCTAGCTTGTCTCGATAAGATATCAAAACCGGAAGTACCGATGCAGTACCATAAAAAGCCCCCAAGGGGCCCAAAATCGAATTTTTTGAGGTCTTGTCAAGACCTACCCACCTACCGAATATCACGACAATTCATTTTCAGCCTTCCCAAGTCAAAAGTTCATAGTTCAACAGTGTCCCAACCAAAAGTGAAGAAACAGGTTTGACATCATTTCATGCAGATGTAATGTTGTATGTGACCTCACGTATGTCCTCAAAAGGTCGGTCTGGGTGTGTTCGTTATTACGCCATATTACTTTATTTCAAGGTCCCTTTGTCCAAGCTTCTAAAATCACCAGCTTTGACGGGAAAGTTCGGCCGCTAGGTGGTTACTTTGCAGGATATAGTGGGAAAACTTGGGAGTTAAACGGTGAGCGTACAGAGGTTTACTGAATTTATGTGTAGGGACTGGGGCGCCCTCACGTAGCCCCCCCCCCCCCAACACACACACCCATTAGGCAGGTCGGGAGGGGTGCAGAGCAAATACCGATTAAAATCTCCCTGCCCTGTGCTCTAAATTCAACCTGTTCGTAATCGGCGCTGGGAATTTTCTTTCAGTATTTAAACTCCCCACCCATCACGTGGAAACAAATTTGGTTAAAACTCCCTCTTGTTATTTGAAAGAAAAAAAACATCACTGCTTGTAATGTCCCCTTTTTACTTGTCACAGTTCCTAATGGAACATGTGTTCTGTACAGAATATCACAATGTGAATCATACAGCCGACAGCTTTAGTAACCCTCTTATCAAGGAAAGACCATAGTTTTTACCCTCGCGGGAAATATTGCAGGAACCGGGGTCACAAAGCCTGGTATTGTTATGTTCAGGGCTTAACATCTTAAAAAAATGAATCCGGATAAAAGTCACCGTTGGATATCCACATGTTTGGTACCAAATGGAAGCTATAGAATAAATAGTTTGGCTACAGTTAATAAAAAAGTGTATCCCTCCCCCTTCCCGAAGTTGTCGAGTCAAACGTGCGAATTATTGAAAACCTAGGCAATAATATTCAATAAATGCAAATCTACGGGACGCAGTAAAACATTATCAAAAACGTTCGTAACAACATTGAAATATCCTCAGGTCGTACATACCTCATTTTGTAATTCTCGTTGGAGCCACTGAAGTTCCGAACCGCCCCAGACGGGGTCTTCAGTGGTAAATGCAGTTACATCATTTGTACGTGTGCATAAATTAGGGTGTGGAAGAATAGCCTCCTTATCAGGGTATTGTGTCGTTAGCATTTTGTTGCCTACGCACTGTTTAATTTCATTTATTTCGAAACCTTTTAGTCAGAAGGCTGAAGATATTACGAAAGCAGTGGCAAACAAACACGCCAGTAACCAGAAAACAGTGTGGAAATGAACAAAAAGGATATCCAAATGCTGCTGAGAGCCTGATTTGGAGGCTATCAAAGCGAGCATGCTACATTGGCCATTTCCCCTGCGGCCGTTTAGAGATTTCTCCAGACATGAGTTTTCGATGAACACAGTTTTGGCAAAATAGACATTGTGACGTAGCATAGATTTTGAAATAGTATCATATTTCATAGAGGGGTGAATGAAGATCAACTTTTCTCTTGTATTGTGAGGCAACTTCAGAGGTGGATGAATCAAAAACAGTTCGTTTGCTGTTAAGCCAAGTGTGTGTGATCTGAAAGTTTCCAGCAATGCGAGTCGCTGACGGCCTTAACAAATCATTCTCTGCTGCCTAGCAATCACTTGTTTCTTCATGTATAACTCAGAACAACGGCAGAGAAAAGGACGACACATCGTCTTCATCACGACAATATATAGAAAGAGACCATAAGGAAACCATAGTGACTGTTGTTGCAGGGGTCTTCAGCAGTATATGCAGTTGAAGTATGTACGTCACTCTTTCACTAATTTGGGTGTGGAACACTCGTCTTTGTTGTTGGCATTCTTGGTTAGGGTGTGAAATATTTTCGTTGCAACCTGTTATACCCCCATTCCACTCAGCGGCGCTCTCGCCGCGCTCTCTCTGCGACCTAAAATTATCCGGATTGCAAAACTTTACGAAAGACGTGCTCAAGTGGAATCTCTCCGGCAACCTTCCTGCGCTCTCTGCGTGACCTAAATCTCAAAGGTCAGCAACGTTTACGGGCGACCAACGATTTCAGAGCTCACTCAACGAATTAAGAAAATGGAGAAAGAAATTTTATACATTTTGTTTGTTTTATTGTTTTTAAAGTCATTCTTGTACATCCTGCATCATATTCAAATCATGAAATCAATGGTGTAAGGCCCCCATTCCCCTATGACGGTGCTCTCACTGCGCTCCCTTTGCGACCTGAAATTGTCCGGAACGCGGAGAAAGCGCCTAGGTCTGTACTGTTGAGAACTTTGTCCGCGTTATCTCCGCGCGTTCTCATGGCGTTCTCACGGTGCTCATTGTTAGCTCGCTCTCCATGGTACTCTCACGGCGACGGTATGAGTTGGTTCGAAATAGTCGCCGAGGTGACGGCGCTCATAGAGCTCATGGCACACTCAGTGCGCTCGCATGGCGAACTTGGCGGTGTATTGGCACTCTCTTTGCGCTCTGGCCAATTTCAGGTCGCAAAGAGAGCGCTGGCGTCTTAGTGGAATGGGGGCCTCAATATTTCTGTTGCCTACACGCGCGCGCAAGCCCTGGACATGTACACGCAGCTGAAACATGTTACATTAGAAAAAGCTGGAGGTCTGAACGGTACAGTACCTAGACTGAAAAAGATGTTGACTGCGAACATTCTAAGCCACTCAAGGCTTTTCTAAATAAGTTCTGGGTTCTAATTTATGACTGTCCCAAGTGTTGTTCCCCTGGGAAAGTCACTAGTACTGTACACCTTATTCCTTACTTGACTATCTACCTTCGGTTAGGGACTTCTTCTATTTTAAAATGTAAAGGTGGAAGAAGAGGTCAAGTGTTTGAGGAGAGACAGACATTGAGAACGTTAAAGAACTCATGACACTACACTTTTCAAAAAGAGTGGGGGCCCTTCCCTGTGAGAGTGGACTAAAGCTGGTCTGGCCTCATAAGTGACATATTGAAAAAAGGTATACCCACCTGTTGTGTCAATTTAAAAAAAAATGTGGTAGATTTGGTAGATGGATAATTATAAACAAATGAACATGGCACTGTTGCCTATAATGAAGATAAAGCTAATGCCTACCCGTTCTGAATTAGTCTCCCAAACCAAATTAAAAATTTCGCAGTTCAATAGTGCCTCACCATGAGAGAGCAGTTTTAAAAACATCATTTCATGCAGAAGTAATTGTTTGTGACCTAATGTGTAGCTTCCCGCACCATTTCTAGGCGTGTTCATTATGACTCATACTCTTTTAATGTGCTGGAATTAATTTTAGGTGTTTTTTGTCGAGTCCAAGCTTCGATTCTAAAATAAACAACTTTAACGAAAAAGTGATTTGCATATCATATCAAACTACACAATTAAACATATTCCGTAATCACCCCCACAACACCCTCACCCGTGCTGGCTGCGAAAGAAGGCAAGTGGGTTGAAACTTCCTCGATCTGCTTTATATTTGCTAAACAAAACGGCGGTATGTCTTTATAAGCCGCCAGGGGGGCAAAAATCTAACAATTTCGAGGTCTTATCAAGTCCTACACAACTACCGAATATCGCGACAATTCATTTTCAGCCTCCCCAAGTCAAAAGTTCATAGTTCAACAGTGTCCCAACCAAAAGTGAAAAACAGGTTTGATATCATTTCATGCAGATGTAATGCTGTATGTGACCTCACGTATGGCCTCAAAAGGTCGGTCTGGGTGTGTTCGTTATCACGCCATATTACTTCATTTAAAGGTCCTTTTGCCCAAGCTTCTAAAATCACCAGCTTTGATGCAAAAGTTCGGCCGCTAGGTAGTTAGTTTGCAGGATAAAGTGAGAAAACTTGGGAGTTTAACGGAGAGCGTAAAGAGGTTTACTGGATGTATGTGCAGTTGGGACTGGGACGCCGTCACGTACCCCCCCCCCCCAACACACACACCCATTAGGCAGGTCGGGAGGGGTGCAGAACAAATACCGATTAAAATACCCCTGCCGTGTGCTCTAAATCCAACCTATTCGTAGTCGCCGCTGGGAATTTTCTTTCAGTATTTAAACTCCCCACCCATCACGTGGAAACAAATTTGGTTAAAACTCCCTCTTGTTATTTGAAAGAAAAAAAAACATCACTGCTTGTAATGTCCCCTTTTTACTTGTCACAGTTCCTAATGGAACATGTGTTCTGTACAGAATATCACAATGTGAATCATACAGCCGACAGCTTTAGTAACCCTCTTATCAAGGAAAGACCATAGTTTTTACCCTCGCGGGAAATATTGCAGGAACCGGGGTCACAAAGCCTGGTATTGTTATGTTCAGGGCTTAACATCTTAAAAAAATGAATCCGGATAAAAGTCACCGTTGGATATCCACATGTTTGGTACCAAATGGAAGCTATAGAATAAATAGTTTGGCTACAGTTAATAAAAAAGTGTATCCCTCCCACTTCCCGAAGTTGTCGAGTCAAACGTGCAAATAATTGAAAACCTAGGCAATAATATTCAATAAATGCAAATCTACGGGACGCAGTAGAACATTATCAAAAACGTTCGTAACAACATTGAAATATCCTACATACCTCATTTTGTAATTCTCGTTGGAGCCACTAAAGTTCCGAACCGCCCCAGACGGGGTCTTCAGCAGTAAATGTAGTTACAGCATTTGTACGTGTGCATAAATTAGGGTGTGGAAGAATAGCCTCCTTATCAGAATATTGTGTCGTTAGCATTTTGTTTCCTACGCACTGTTTAATGATTGCTATCTTAGTCTGAAAGTTGCAGATATTACGAAAGCAGTGGCAAACAAACACGCCAATAACCAGAAAACAGTGTTGGAATAAACAAAAAGGATATCCAAATGCTGCTCAGAGCCTGATTTGGAGGCTATGAAAGAGAGTATGCTCCATGGGCCATTTCCCCTGCGGCCGTTTAGAGATTTCTCCAGACATGAGTTTTCGCTGACCACAGTTTCTGCGGAATAGACATTGTGACGTAGCATAAATTTTGAAATAGAACTATATTTCATAGAGGGGTGAATGAAAATCAACGCTTTTATCTTGTATTGTGAGGCAACTTCAGAGGTGGATGAGTCGAAAACAGTTCGTTTGCTGTTAAGCTAAGTGTGCGTGATCTGAAAGTTTCCAGGAATGCGAGTCGCTGGCGGCCTTAACAAATCATTCTCTGCCGCCTAGAAATCACTTGTTTCTTTATGTATAACTCAGAACACCGGCAGAGAAAAGGATGACACATCGTCTTTATCACGACAATTAACCGTATATAGAGAGACCATAAGGAAACCATAGTGACCGTTGTTGCAGGTAAAATGTTCAAGTTTATGTCAAACGCCACACAGACAAGTAAATGAGTTGCCCAAGGTGAAATCAACCAAACTTAGCTGAAGTGGCGTGCAAGTGGCGTGTATGATAACAAAGTAGTACGTCTGACAAAGGAGACGAGGTCAAAGTTTATTTTAAGTGACACACAGGCGAGTGAGTTGCCTAAGGTGAAATCGACCAAACATGGCGTGTATGAACAAAATGGTGCTTTGTTACACATTAAAGGAGATGAAACCTGTTTAACTGCATGCATCACGTTCAGTTCTTTACTCATTCAAACATTTGTTCATTTCTTCGTTTCTTCAAATCTGTTTTGTAAAGAATCGTGTTCATATCTATCATGTAAATTATATTTATCCATTTATCTATCTGTCTATCTATCTATCTACCTTGTAGTAATAAACCTTCTAGAAAAAGAGATATTTCATCCCGTCCACTGCTGTTTTCCGTCCTAATATGGGGACAGTGCATGTGCCACCACCACTCGGTCATTGTAATATGTAATATCCACTCAATCATATGTGTTGTGTGTCAATCGTACGTGTGTATGTAAGAGAGTAAGTGAAGAAACGGAAAAGAAGCCAGTGATTTCCAGGGTAAAGCCATAGAAATTGAACGATCGAATTCTTAACTGTCACACAACCCTCCCCATTACTGATCTGTCCCTAGCCACACCGGAAATGACGTCATCGATTAGTTACTCTTCGATGCCCTATAGCTGATGGACGCCATCAGCTCGCTAGTTTCAGTTGGGAGGCAAATATTCTGCATTATTCTTATAGTTTGTAAACAAATGTAGGTCCTTTAAGCAATTAGATATATGTGTGTCATAGCAGAAGAGGAAATTTGCTATGCAATCAAAAGCAGCCGTTTCTTCATCTGCGGCAAAGCATGCCCATTGCTGGAATAATTGCCATAAAACCTTATCAATATTTCATGGATGTCAATTTCACACCTGAATGAATCTCATTTGCCCTGGTGGAAGCCAGGCCATACCTCAGCGCAGTCAGTACAGACATGTTGCAACCGGCACCAGAGACATATTATTCTGAAGACGATGTATGATTAATGTAAGATACGCTGCAGACGACATCAACGAGGTTATTTCTAATATCTTGCCGGTACGTATCTTTAGTTCACCCTAGCCGTATCAAGAATCTATCAACGTTCATATTGTTTGTTTCTGAGCGCTCGGATATGGGCCAATGTTTAAAGGTATATGTAAATACGTCTAATAATAGTGTAAACTTTAACCGACTATGCATCTTTCATATTATTTGGCGGTTATTGAATCCACCCAAAACGATTTCAGACCAGTAAAACAGGATTCTAGGTCAATTTTCTGGTCTTTTCTAAATGTAGTAAGTTGAATCAAACCTAACCCACAGCATCTGTGAGGCAAAATGCGATGTTACTGACGGAAAGCGATTGCCTTGTTTCGTATCGTTGGCTAGTTCTAGCTATCTATATGACTCCTCACGTAGCTTGGTGGGGGTGGGGGGAGGTAAACGATGCAAGGAATGATGAAAATGCGCTAAGAAATGGCAGTAAATGTTAATACAAGACGGATTTCTTCATCCAAAATATTTTTGTTTTCCGCCCTGAAATCGCATTGGGTGCCTTTCTTATGCTGGTGTTGTTTTTCACAGAAACTGGCTGTGTCGGTTTGAAACATTTTTTATCTTCTTTCTCAACCATCCAAGTACACAATGTCCCAGGAATCGGTCGCATAGAACCTACTGGCTCTCCGCATTGTGTTTCCCCACAGTGGCAATTAACGTTGATACTTATGTGACATGACATTGAAGAACTACAAAGGGGTCGTTGTGCCATACATACAGATAATAACGATTATGAATATAGGTACGGCTGGTATCTTAAGAGATCATCTCGAAACAACCATTTATCTTCAAATGTAGCTGAATTGATGATCAATGTTTGAAAGTAATATTAAATATCACTTATTGAAAATTAGAACAGAAGGCGTTACGTGTACAGAAAGCTCATGCAGAATGTGAACTGCCAGGGAAATAAATCGCCACACACATGTACTTACCCATCAACGTTTGGCTTTCTTTGTAGTTACAAAGATATCTTTGGATATTAAGACATATTTTACATTGTAGCAATGTTAAAATGACTGGAATGATTTTTCAGCCATGATACCACCAGTACAAACCTTCAATGTGCTTGTAATCGTCACGGAACTTCTACAAGTCACAACCGATGCGCAGAACTCTCAAAGACTTGTGGAGGGACATTGTACGTATGATTTTTACTTATTCAGAAAAACCCTTCCTCATATCATGAAAGTTCATCTGTGTTGGTAGTCATTATCATAGTAAAAGGTTAAAATTTATTCGAACACAAGGATCATTACACAAAGATAAAATTTTCAACGACTACTGTTGCCTTCTTCGGGATGATTAATAATGACCAATCACTTCAAAACGTAATCTCGCGAGAGTTACGATTACAGACACGTGACCTTATTCACACGAGACTTTACGGATATGGCTACAATGGCTAAAATCACAACTGATGCAATTATGCTGTTTTCCTATAGTCATTGAACATCCCCTTCCCTGTAACTTTGAAGATGAGAAGCCGTGTTTCTGGGCCCAGATGCACGATGACGACTTTGACTGGACCCGTAAAAGTGGACCGTCAGGCTTTCGAACAGGTCCACGAACGGACCACACTTATGGCAATGGTGGGTGAGAGTCGTCCGATTTCTTAGATGCCAAGATTATCAAAACTTTACTTAAACTTATATAGTAGCACTGTGTTGTATTGTACGTAGATTCGCAGCATGAATTGAAGCTTTACATATACTTCTGGGAAACATACATAAAACACCTACGAAATATTTTTTTTGAATACTAAAACTCAAGGTCTCAAGGTTTCTGAAAAAACTGTAAACGCATTTAAACAAGTGAAGTTCATATATAAGTAACAGTGGTTTGGAATAAAAATTTTGAAAAATTTTCTTAATTAATTGATGCATCATTATTACCCCCAGAGACAGGACATTACATGTTCATAGAAACATCAGCACCAAGACGGATAGATGAAATAGCAAGAATCATAGGACCCGTCATCACACCATCAGCATCAGAAGAGTGCAAGGTACGTCTGAATACTTCTGCAACAATCTTCCTTATCTTACCAATCCGCCATTTAAATATATAAGGTTTGGATGCAAATACATGCGGGATTTCCAAACACGTTGCTATATATATAGCTAGTTTCCATTGGCATTCCGCAATGGTAAATGAATAAAGGGTTTCAAACCTGCTGCTAGTTTTCTCCTGACCATGGTTGTTGATAGTCAATCAGAATATATTTATTGGTTAATATAAGACTTTTTAATTTCTACGTTCTGAATTCCTTGATTATAGTACATCTTTTCAGTTTAAATTACGAAAATGCGTTATATATGCTGATGCGACTTAATTGCTATTGATCTTTACATTTAGATGACACTACATTTTCACATGGACGGATCCACCATTGGTCATCTTGCCGTTTACAAACGGGGCTATTGGGACAACAGTGAGTCACTCCTGTGGACAGACTTTAGGGACTATGGTGATGTGTGGAAAGAACAACAGATAATGTTGCCAGGACCACAGTCGTTTCAGGTATCGGTTGACTGTCCTAGTTTCAAGTAAATGATTAAGATAAATATTGAAAATCCCCACTATATCTTTTGCACTAAAATGAGTGAACATTTCGATGAGGTACCCTTTAATTCCACTGATGACATCGAAAATGTCCAAGAGGTTGCCAAGAGGAAGGTGGAAAGACCGGTTCTTCTATACACGTCACTGGTTCTGACGTCACTAGAACTGGCTGGAGGGTCCCCTCCGAGAGTAGATCCACCTGGCGAAACCCATGCATGTCTGCAGTATCCATGCATCAGACCCTGATGGCGATTGATTGATTCTTGAATGTACACGTTATAGTACATACAGCTGTGTCACTATATCCTCTTAGATTAATTGTTTGAAAACGTGACAATAACAAGACGCCACCCTGATTGAAAATTAAGGCACAATTGTAGTTAGCGTGTAAAATTTCAACTTGGCCTTAATGTCTCATGTTTTAGGTTATCATCGAAGGTTGGCGTGGCACTGGAGACTATGGTGACATCGGCATTGATGACATAATCTTTTCATCCGGATGTTTTAAAGAAGGTAATTAATCAATTGTATTCATGAAGTTTATTACTATGTTCTTCTTAGCCTTATTCTTAGCCCGGCCTGATGAGCAAGGGTGTTTCAATTGAGCCTCCTTGTTTTTACATAGATTGCACCTTTCCAATATTCCCCATTCTATAAGACCTCTAAGGTGAGTGAAATATTTATGAAGAAATTGCAACCCATCACTATACACAGTTGACATAGATTTTATTTTCCCTTAAAAGTTACAATAAATCAGTACTCTACTGAAATCTCTCATTGACTCCCTGTGTCCTCAACTGATTTGTGTTTTGAATACGTCCATTGGCCCTCACCGATGTCTTTCGACAGAGGAAGGATCATTGCGAATCATCTACGTTGCAAACTCCTTCTACGAGGGAAGACTGGAAATCTTCCATAACAGCCGTTGGGGGACAATTTGCGACATGGGATGGACCCAAGCGACTTCCACAATGGCGTGCCGACAGCTTGGGTACATGGAGGGCGATTCCAGGACAAATAATTTGCCAGGAGATAGCGGTACACCCATTCTTCTAAGCAACGTCGTCTGTGCAGGAACTGAAAACAATGTCACCGGTTGTTCTAACAACGGATGGGGAAATACCGGCAACTGCACACATGCAAACGATGTAGTTGTGGCTTGCAGTGGTAAGATTTAATCAGATATTTTCTAGTGTAAGCACAAAGATAGTATATCTAACATCTATGTATCTCAAATTGGCCAATAGTGCATTGTAGTACGTGTAATATCATAAGCTACTTGGTCTTCATCACCTTATGAGCACAATCAGTCTCATTATCTTTAAAAATAATTAAAAAATCATCATCTTAACCCGGTATAGTATTACTTTTGTGGATGCTTCTATTAAGATAAGCTATCTATTTTAGGATTCAATCAATTGTTGGCAGGAATTATGCGCACAAAACATTATATATGCTAAATGGAATTCTCTTTCCTCTGTACAGGATATCAAAAGGAATGCCAATATAATGAATTCACCTGTTCTAATGATGACTGCATTTCGTCTGGACTTGACTGTGACTTAACATCAAACTGCCGAGACAACAGCGATGAAACCAATTGTAGTAAGTGAATATATACAATACAATGCAATACAATACAGTATATACAATATAATGGCTAACCGATGGTGTGCTAGATACATGTATGCAGTCACTAGATATAGCATTAGTCGAAATCATTTCCTTTTTAAAATTACCAATCCCATTACACATGTTTCATATCTTTACAGCTCTTTTTCCTGGAAAGTGCAACTTCCAATATGGCCTGTGCGACTGGATCCAGCCAACAAATGACGATTTTGATTGGACTCGTCTGAGAGGACATGAGGCCACCTTCAACCAACAAGATCACAACGGAGACCAAGGTTTGAGGACAGATCTTTTTCAATTTAGTTTCTGCATCAACAATGTACTAGAAAAAGTGTCTCTTACATTCTCTGGTAAGGATAGTGTCCATCTAGTTGAGGAACAGTACATTTTAAAATTCTTCGAATTCCCAGGGAGTTAAAATCTTCTATTACCTTTTTATTGTTATAACTCGTTAGATGGATTCTTTCTCTACATGGACGCCAGGATCCCCAGAAAACAGGACGACATAGCGAGGATAGTATTACCTCAACCATTCAAACCTACAGGCAGTGGAAGTTGCGTAGTAAGTATCAGTATATTAACTTTAAAGCTGGATGGCACTTTTATTGTCACATGCACTTGTCTTAAGTGCTATAGTTAGGCATGGCCATTGGTCAACAATGTATTATGTTATTTGCAACATCATATGCCACTACTGGAACTTTATACCATCAGTTCAGTAGTGATATAAGTATACCTATACTCCAATGAGCTTTGAGTTCATCGAAAGAAAATTTCCTACTGGATTTATATCAATTTCCTGAGTTTTAGATATACCATATTAAAAAAAAAATTAAACAAAAAATGTTTAGAGAATAAAGTGTCTTAAGATTTGTGACCCCTTTCCACCTAGATCCGATTCTACCACTTCATGTCTGGCAGAGACGTTGGCAAGTTAACGTTGTACATCAGCGACATCAATGGGAAGACACGGCTATGGGGGGGGGGGGATATGCGCCTGCTGCAGCATGGGAAAGGGAAGCAGTTGATATACGCTCCGATGTTTCATTCCAGGTGAAATATGTTAAATTTCTTTCTATTTTTGCCTTCGACAAGAAGGCTATGAAATCGTTTTGGCACTGTTTGGCAGATTATGCACGATAAATTTTGAAGGCATGATCCGAGGTTCACGATTTTTAGCAGACACGTTGTCGTAGTGATGGGCATTGTCAAGGCCAAAAATGGGCTTCGTGGGATGTTCTTACGTGATTTTATGTTGAAGTTGTTAAAAGTTTTCCTGGCATAAACATATCCTACTACCACATGATTAAATCTTTAATATTGAAATATACTATTTGGGACAAGTCAGTTGTCATTATGGTAAGTTGTAATGTTAAGATGGTCCTTGGTCTAGTAATTTGATTTAATTTGCGAGGATAGGTCCTTTTTGAAGGTACAATTGGATCATCGCACTCAGGCCACATTGCGGTGGATGACATATCACTAACTCCTGGCTGTCAGATGGAAGGTATTATTCATTAATTACAGTAATTACAGGAGAACGTGTACATAAACCACTGCAAGTTGTAGTGCAAAAATATTTTTAAATGTATGTACGGTATATACAAGGCCTTAGGCTATTAGCTGCAGACTCACCAGACACATTACTGTTTTTAAATTGATCCTGTAGGCAATGATTAAACATTCTTTTGGAAACTCAATTCATTGTGGTTACTATATCACGATCTGGTCGATCAACATCTAACCAGATGTGACCGAAAGGTGATTTGACTGAATTGTACTTACACAGGAAACACGTGCCTTCTGACTGGACCAACATTTACGTGTGATAGCGGTGAGTGTGTTTCCAAGGAACATCAGTGCGACTTCAATCACAACTGTTTGGATGGGTCAGATGAGAATGATTGTAACTACGGTGAGTTTTATCATATAGATATGGCCTCATAGGCATGTCAAAACTAATGATATTTACCAATATGAGAATACATGAAATCATATCATACATTGGTGAATTGACAAGTAGCAAAGGACAATCAAATCAAAAGAAAAAAAAAACTACTGCAGCTGACGTGTTGATGATCACACAATACAACCATCATAAGCAAAGATATTAGTGCAGAATGTGCAATAATACTGCAATGTTGACATCGATCAAAGAAAATTTACTCGTACTTACATCAGACTTGGGTATTCCTGATCAGATTCTGGCCGTTGTGACTTTGAGACAAATTTCTGCAATTGGACGCAGAGCGATCAGGACAACTTTGACTTTCAGCGCGGTCAAGGGTCAACAGACACGTCCTACACAGGCCCACAGACAGATCACACCAAAGACAACGCAAGGGGTATCTACTGTACTTCTACCTAACTCCTGCAATGACATAGTACCAGTCTGTTGTGGTAATGCTTGCATCAAAACAAAATTGGGAACACGTGAGATTCTGTTGCATACCGCTCAAAACAAATATTTACAGATTTGAATTTATAGAAAAAAATGGTCAAATACATTTCAAATCACATTTTCCGCCAACAACAACAAATAGGACGACGGGTCATGAAAGTAGGAAAGTAGAGGCTTGCTTATATTGTTTGTTAAGCGTATTGATGGAAGCTTTATTTTATTTTTCTTATGAACTTGTCAGGACATTACGCCTTCATAGACTCTACAGGGTATCCAAGTGACCACAGAGCACGACTGGAAAGCCACAGTTTGCCTGCGTCGGACATGTGCAAGGTGAGAAAGACGCTGGTCCATAAGTAAGTTAGGGTTGTGGTAGATATCTTAAGTTAAGGTATGATACTGCAAGGCGTTAAACCATTGTTTCAAACTCCTTAACACCCATAGCTCACAATAATATTTGACTTAAGAAATTTAGAATACAAACTAAGAACGATGTCAACTGCATCCCGTGCTGTATAACTTCATACTTTTCACGAAAAAACAACGTATTTGTTAATGTCTTCCCTATTATGTGAAATAATATGCCACAGTCCAAACTCACATGACTTGATTGTATTTTTATGTAGTTCCGTCTATATTACCACATGTTTGGGACAGGAGTTGGCAGTCTGATTGTCTCAAAAAGAGATCTGACATCTGACAGTATCCAAGAGTTGTGGAGGACGACCGGAGATCAGGGCTTTCAGTGGCTCTTTGCTTCAATTGATGTTAGTAGCACTAACCAATACCAGGTACCGACCATTCAATCTGACTTACTTCTTCTTATACTAGTATGTATAACTTTGAAAGTATATAAAGATCTAAAGCTTGTATGTATTTACTATTATTATTCATATATTCGTGACACCAACAAGCAAAACTTACAGCAAAGATACAACTCCCTGACTTGCAAAAACGTTTGCGTACACAAATTACAAAATGCAACGGACGAGACAGGCGAAATATACACCCCTATATTATAACACATTATAAATGCAGTATCAGTTTTTATTACGAGCATAAGGTTTGATGTACATCCATATAATCAACTTAAGCTAAGTAGTTAAATGAGACATAGTAGGACAATATTAGATTATATGATAACAAATCTTATTGGAAAGGTGTTTACCAAGTATTATGTGGTTATCTTCTGGTGTTCTTTGTTTTTTCCCCTCCCGGTCACAAAAGGTGCTGATAGAGGCAACTGTGGTGGGACATGAGAGAGGAGATATTGCCATTGACGACCTGTCGTTTGCCAGAGAATGTTACCTAGGTGAGGAAAATACCATCGTTAAGCAGTCCATTAAATCACAATTGCACACACAAGGTCAATGACCTGGACCAGATGTCTGTCACCATAGTAACTGGTGCTATAGCAGACACCATGTGATGTTGGTTTACATCATGTACCAAGTTGGCAGGACTGGTCATAAAATGTATTTGAGTAAGAATAAACAGTAGTTAATTAGGCTAGTCTATAAGAAGGCTAACATAATGCATTTGCTTTGCAAATATTACCTTTGTAGACAATGTATTGCACAGGCCCTTGTGGTACATACATGTACCTTGACTCAGTGTTAAGTCATAAAGATCTACTTTCATTTTGTACCGTTTTCAAAACAGGCAGAATGTCAACCAGCTATCACTTTCTGATTTTGACTAAGTTTATTCTAGTGTTATTTATTTGCAAAGCACATAAGCACATCTTTGTATCTCACACAAAATCTCAACACCTTAATTTTCCTACAGGGGTGCAAAGTTCTGAATCACTATCTTTTTCTGTAAAGCAAAGAACGCCAGTTATTTTTATTTTTATTAATCAGAAAATAAGCTTCGCCTAGTATTCCTAGGATCCAAATTTAAACAGTGAATCAAATGACCTGAAATGTTTGAGTGAGAATACAAGATAGGAATGCATCCACATTAATAATACAATTCCTCTTTCAGGGACAGGACAGAAGAAGAGTCGGATGGTGCCCATGATTGCTATCAGTATCAGTGCTGTAATTGCAATTGTTTTATTAGTAGTTGGAGTATCAGTATTCTTATATCAAAGGAAATCCAGGCAACTCAATGAAGGGTAAGTATTTTATTAACTTTAGTGGTGCTTTAGTGGTGTCTATCTTAGAGGATACACATTCATAGAAACCACTAAAATGACCAACAAAACAATGCAAAAAGGGGAAGCCTTATATCTGGCGAAAAATAATATTACTGTTAAAATGAAGCTTCCAGACATTCATTGCCTTGTTACTGTCAGCCCGAGTTAAAAAAAAAAGTAGTCCATGACATTGCTACATGTACTTTATGTACATGTACCAACTAAACTTGCGACTCTAATTATACTCCAATCGACGTACTTATGTCACAATCAAAACTGTCCTATACAATTATACTTTTGTACAGTGAACCCATCACCAATCCAATTCAGCCAAGTCATACAGGTCAACATCACATGCAGGACTGTATGGAGCTTGAACAACAGAGCTATCTCTCAGACCCACCTCCACCGTACACCGAAACACCATGAAGCTTTCTACCATGGAAAACATTTTAAATGTTTCTACTTTTCTTTTATATTATGAAGAAACAAGGGGTATAAAATAAGAATAGCGGATCAGGAAACAACAGTTATTCAAGCATCTGGGTAGATTTTGAACACTGACAGTTTTTAAACCTCCATCCATCCATCAAATTTGATACCTGACAGGTCCTTGTCAATAATGAATGGCGGCTCCTGTATGTCATGATCGCGATGTCTTTGAACCTTTATCAATGCACATGAATGTATTACTTAATTAACTATAATAACCAAGTTGGGTATGGAGAATACCAGTGGATGCAGAGAATGATGCCTGCAGAAGCAGACCTTGGGTATGATATTGTAGTTTGCAATATTGATATCAAATTTGCAATGATTAATTCACACATGATGATGGATGCCCTTTTCACCTTCTTGTCATTATGGTTGGGTGCAGAAAGTTGTTGTGTCAATTATTATATTAAAGAATGCCTTTTATAACACAGTATGTACTGCATGTTATGGTTGATACACTAGAAAATAGAAAATAATAGTTACATGCATGTAAAGTTTTGTTTGCTTAAAATTGTTGTGATTATATCTTAATGTTTGCAACCTACAGTTGTAGTTAATATCTTAATGTTTGCAACCTACAGTTGTAGTTAAACAGTAGATTGAGAATTTTCCATTCACTATGTGTTGTTTTAGCCATTTCTGTTGATGAAATGGTCAAGAAAAGCACTTGGCCCCTGTTGACTTCGTGTATTGTTCAGATGTGAAAGAAACAACCAGCGACAGTAGCCATAGCAATCGTAGGTAGTTCCTTTTACCATGGTTTATCAAAAGTATAAGTAATACAGCAGAATCAACAGATATGGTGGAGATATTAAGATACGTTGTTTACAATTATGGTATGTCATATATATTATTTGCTAACATAGAGATATCATGCAATTCGTAGTATTCGAGATGGACGTCTTACTTGGAGCATCAGCAGCACACCTAGATTTTTTTTAAAGTGATATCATAACTGAAGTTGCTACAATGCAACAACGTACTATAGCAAGCATGTTGTATCATAACAGATTATAGCATCATAATCACTAAAGCAGATTCTAACACAGCTTTCAAAGCCTCACATTTGGTTGCACACTTTAATTCACCAGGCACAATGCAACGTAAGAAAGGTTGCCTAAATGGCTAATTTATATATAAGGCTATAATATATCTTGTACTAGTCATTACCTCTGCATTACGATGTGTCTAGTTTTACACCTTTTATCGGTTCCTGAGATGACCTTAATAAATCACCTAATAAGAACCCATCTATATGGCTGAACTCCATCATAATTTCTGTTTTCAAAAGATATCTGTTTACATAAGTTACTTCCACAAATTATGTGAGTCTTAAGTTGGTATGTCTTCCTTGAGCATCTGCAAAGTGATTCTTAATACAGACTTTATGAATCAAGATTATGTCCTCTTATTGCCTTTTGGAGGACGTTCTGACTTTGCAAAAGTTTTGTAGTTTCTGACCCCTTTATTCCCATTTATTAATGTTTAATCTCTGTTATACAGTAATGTTGTAAGTCAACAGATTTTTTTGCGTTCCTGTTGCTTGGTATTGAAATCAACAGATTTTAATTTCAATCAAATGTCGATGACTATAAAAAAGCATTTTGTAAAAAAATTAATAAATTGCAATGAAATGTCGATGAATCTGACGAAAGCATTTTTACATAGTTTTTTATTTTCATTTTCAATATCATCTGTTGTGAGCCTTTCTTTTAATTTTATTTTCAATATCATCTGTTGTGAGCCTTTTTAGGCAGGAATAACACGTTTGCGACCAATGAAGAGAGTGCATGGAATTGCCACGGCGACAGCAACAATGTAGAAAACCAAGCCCAAACGGTCAAGGACATGAGCCAACAAAGCGTACTCTGAATTTTCTTCATCGTCATCACCGACACTTGACTTTGCCAGAGCATCGATGCTACTAGACAGTTGACTAACAGTAGCATCTAACTTATCTACGCTTCCCTTTAACCCAATAAGGGTAGCTCCGACCTCGTTCTTCACGTTGGGAGGTGGGTTGACTTGTCCGGCAGTTGGGCCATTGTCCATCTTGAAGGCGTGGTTGGAGTGTCCCTCGATGTCATTAACTTTGTTCTTAACAGCGTCACCTGTTGGCTCTTCATTTTTCAGCTTCTTGGTCAAGTCACCCAACAACAGGGCCCTGGAAGTGTAGAAATCCCGGTCAACTTTTATAACGTTACTATATTGGTAAGGTATATTAGTTTACATTTTTACAAGTTAAAAATTTAACCCTATCTAGACCGGGCTTTTTTGAGCTTGGTGGGCCGGGGGGGG